CATAGTTTGAATCGGTTCGCAAGTTAGTTTTCTTTGTCAAGTATGTTATTGAACGATAAAGTTATCTACAGTTTAAGTTACTATATTTCAAGCAAGGCATTGAGCAAAGAAAATTAGAAACACTTCAAATTAGTTTCATAGCTTGGATTAGTTTGTTAATGGGTAAATTTTTAAAGCAGGCTTTTGAGCAAAAGTTTTCTAATAAATCAAGTTGGTTTCTAAAACATAAATCGGCTTGCAAAACGTAAGGGTGAGTCAAGCATGTGATTGACCAATGAACGTAAGAATTTTTTACGTTTTGATACGTCAATATATTTCAAATTGTTTTAAAAGCTGAGTTAAGACTTTTTCAAGCAAAGTATTTAGCAAAAAAAGTTTCAAATATTTCAAATTTCAAACTGTTTCTATAGCTTGAATCTAGTATCCGGAAAAAGGTCTTTTTCAAGCAAAGTTAAGAACCTATGCAAAAAAAACTTTTGGAACCATTTGACGTTGTTTTTAGTATCTCAAAATTCATATTGAAAAATGGAGGTTAAGGGAAGATGAGCTTGAAATGTACCAAATAAAACAATACAGGTCGTATAAAGCCGAGCTAGAATTCTCGTCTTGAAAACTTTCGAAAAGATTTAAAGTTTCAAGAGCTTGCTGATACAACTTTTTGAAGATCCACTTCCGATACGCTATGTAAACAGCTAAAGAACAATTGTAGAAAACCTGTTTTGTTTTCCCTTATCATTCAGAAAAAAAATTAAAGTAAATTTGAGATGTAGCCAGTGTTTCACCAAGTAGTGTAGAGGGAGACAGAATGTGTTGATTTTAGTAGTCTGTGTAAATAAAATTTCAACACAATTGGATTAGGTAGAAAAAACTTAGTAGATAGTAATTTGACGCTTACACTTTCATGAACAAAAATTAGGACATTTTTCTAAATCTGCTAACTTAACGGCAAAAAATAGGGGGTGAGTTTTTGCAATCAAAACATTAATATAGTTCCCGACAAAATAAAAACCTGATAAATCGAAACTTTTACGACAAAAGCTCAAAACGAAATTAACCTGAATAAAAAAACTCCATAACTGGTACGTTTTTTCATCATTAATCATCGCTATGAATCTGAGACTCTTTTCTTCAAGGCTTTTGAGAATGTTTTCCCTTCGCGCCATCGTTGATATATCATGTTGGAGTATTAGAAAATAAGGGTAATAATAAGCCTATGTTTAATCACTTTCCGAGTTTCCTCGGAACAACCCAAATAGCTTTCGCATATGTTTCACCGAGGAAACATTTGAGAAAAGATGCCAACCTTTCAATTTTTCAAAATTTCACATACGTTTGGCATGCCCTTAAAACTACTGCACATTGACACCTCAACATAACTTTACGTTTTTGATGTATTTCACCATAAACATGCTCGTTAAAGGTCCCAAAATCAAGTTAAAATATTTTTGTTATTCAAATTTATGTTTTTTTAATTGAAGATACATCCTAGAGAGCGTTCGAAAGAGTATTCAAAGAATTATTGAAGCATTTCCGCCATTTTAGAGCAAAACTGAGTTGTATTGAAACTGTAGAACCAATAGATTTTTTGCTTCCAATAGATTGCTGTGTCGTGGCAATTCTGGGGTTAGAAATTCCTCGTAGAAGTCGAGAGACCGGAGTCTCGTTAATATGCGTGTACTGTTTCGAGGTTTTTTAGACACTTATCTGCCAATGCTAGGGCAAGTGCTTTGTCTTCTTGTATTTCTCTTGGCGTCTCTCTCTTCACTTTTTTACAAAAGATTTGACTGCAAAATTAAACTCAGAATTTTTTTAAATGCTACTGCATTAGCTCAAACATCCCACCGTTCATGCAAAAAGTGAAGTTTTCAAGTTTTTCTGATGTATAATTGGTGCTGTTTTCAGCAAACAGTATTCCGCATAATTTGAAATCCAAATGATCATCATGTGTTTGCAATTCATCCTTTTCCGCGGAAGAAAACTGGATTCCATATGACAATAAACTGTTCAAATAACTCAAATCAAAAGACTCCGCTTTTTCAAAGGCTGCAGAAACATATTTGAGGCTAACCAATTTCAAGTCTATATTTTGAAACAAAGATTTTCTGAACATTTCAAGATAAGGTTTCATTTGAACTCCACAAACATGCGAATCTTTCAATAACTCATTGTTACCGAGTAGTTCTTCAGACTCAATAACTCGGCTGTAAACATTCAACTTTCGGGGAATAAAATCTGAACTTTTCAAAATGGTTTTCAGGTCAACATAAGATTGCAGAACATCTTGATTTAATTTCCCACTTCTTGGAACTAAGTCAAAATAAGCCAACCGATAACTCAGAGACTCAACTCTGTTAAATGATTCTACAACTTTAAAACAATCGTTAGATAAATTTTTCTTTTCTCGAACGAAGCTCAAACACTTTGAGAAATCTTTCAAAATAGACTGATGAAATCACTGCAAATAAATAACGACTTTGGATACGCTCGAAGAAAGAATCAAATAAACAGGTACCAAACTCGGTTCTGAGAGAACTACTAAAACGGCGTTATCCTGGTTTTCGTTACATTGATCGAATTTGTTTTTCAAAATATGATCCAAATAATGGAAGTAACAAACAGAATTGTTCAGACACGAAATAAAAGATGAGTCTTCTGTCCAAATTAATTCGTTGTTAGTTGAAATAAAATTTCCAAATTCAATTGTTCGAATAGATAAATCGGTCAAATTATCTACTTCAACTACGAACTCCAAGGATTCGTTTGAACGTATGATTCTAGAATTAACACTCGCAGGAAAAATAGCTTGACCCCAACATTTGCAACGTTGATCATCCCTTGGGTTTGTCGTTATTAGGAAATCCTCGCTTAGAAGCACGTCGAAATAAACCATAATTGCATCAAAAGATCCATTATTTTCAATTTGAAAAGATAGCTTTTTGGGCTTTTCAAATTCTTTTAAATAATTAGAGTCTGCAAGTTTCTTAAAATCAATTTCGAATATTTCAAAAAAGCTATTCAAGAGATGCAACTTTTAAATTTTTGAAATACTTCATAAAACGAACCCGTTTACATGAAAATTACTTTCTTTTCCATCTAAGTCATTTTCCTTACTAGTTTAGAAACAAGAAAAATTTACGATCTCCTTAAGAAACTATTGGGCAATGAAGCCTAGTAACGTTTTAAATAGTGGCATAGTTTGAATCGGTTCGCAAGTTAGTTTTCTTTGTCAAGTATGTTATTGAACAATAAAGTTATCTACAGTTTAAGTTACTATATTTCAAGCAAGGCATTGAGCAAAGAAAATTAGAAACACTTCAAATTAGTTTCATTGCTTGGATTAGTTTGTTAATGGGTAAATTTTTAAAGCAGGCTTTTGAGCAAAAGTTTTCTAATATATCAAGTTGGTTTCTAAAACATAAATCGGCTTGCAAAAAGTAATGGTGAGTCAAGCATGTGAATGACCAATGAACAAAAAAATTTTTTACGTTTTGATACGTCAATATATTTCAAATTGTTTTAAAAGCTGAGTTAAGACTTTTTCAAGCAAAGTATTTAGCAAAAAAGTTTCAAATATTTCAAATTTCAAACTGTTTCCATAGCTTGAATCTAGTATCCGCAAGCAAGGTCTTTTTCAAGCAAAGTTAAGAACCTATGCAAAAAAACTTTTGGAACCATTTGACGTTGTTTTTAGTATCTCAAAATTCATATTGAAATATGGAGGTTAAGGGAAGATGAGCTTGAAATGTAGCAAATAAAACAATACAGGTCGTATAAAGCCGAGCTAGAATTCTCGTCTTGAAAACTTTCGAAAAGATTTAAAGTTTCAAGAGCTTGCTGATACAATTTTTTGAAGATCCACTTCCGATACGCTATGTAAACAGCTAAAGAACAATTGTAGAAAACCTGTTTTGTTGCCCCTTATCATTCAGAAAAAAAATTAAAGTAAATTTGAGATGTAGCCAGTGCTTCACCAAGTAGTGTAGAGGGAGACAGAATGTGTTGATTTTAGTAGTCTGTGTATATAAAATTTCAACACAATTGGATTAGGTAGAAAAAACTTAGTAGATAGTAATTTGACGCTTACACTTTCATGAACAAAAATTCGGAAATTTTTCTAAATCTGCTAACTTAACGGCAAAAATAGGGGGTGAGTTTTTGCAATCAAGACATTAATATAGTTCCCGACAAATTAAAAAACTGATAAATCGAAACTTTTACGACAAAAGCTCTTAACGAAATTAACCTGAATAAAAAAACTCCAAAACTGGTACGTTTTTTCATCATTTATCATCGCTATGAATCTGAGACTCTTTTCTTCAAGGCTTTTGAGAATGTTTTCCCTTCGCGCCATCGTTGATATATCATGTTGGAGTAATAGAAAATAAGGGTAATAATAAGCCTATGTTTAATCATTTTCCGAGTTTCCTCGGAACAACCCAAATAGCTTTCGCAAATGTTTCACCGAGGAAACATTTGAGAAAAGATGCCAATCTTTCAATTTTTCAAAATTTTACATACGTTTGGCATGCCCTTAAAATTACTGCACATTGACACCTCAACATAACTTTACGTTTTTTATGTATTTCACCATAAACATGCTCGTTAAAGGTCCCAAAATCAACTTAAACAATTTTTGTTATTCAAATTTATGTTTTAAATTGAAGATACATCCTAGAGAGCGTTCGAAAGAGTATTCAAAGAATTATTGAAGCATTTGCGCCATTTTAGAGCAAAACTGAGTTGTATTGAAACTGTAGAACCAATAGATTTTTTGCTATTTTCCAATAGATTGCTGTGTCGTGGCAATTCGGGGGTTATAAATTCCTCGTAAAAGTCGAGAGACCGGAGTCTCATCAATATGCGTGTACTGTTTCGAGGTTTTTTAGACATTTATCTGCCAATCCTAGGGCAAGTGCTTTGTCTTCTTGTCTTTCCCTAGGCGTCTCTCTCTTCACTTTTTTACAAAAGATTTGACTGCAAAAATTAAACTCAGAATTATTTTAAATGCTACTGATTAGCTCAAACATCCCACCGTTCATACAAAAAGTGAAGTTTTCAAGTTTTTGTGATGTATAATTGGTGCTGTTTTCAGCAAGCACAACTCCGCATAATTTGAAATCCAAATGATCATCATGTGTTTGCAATTCATCCTTTTCCGCGGAAGAAAACTGGATTCCATATGACAATAACAGTATAGGCGACAAACCATCTTCATATTTTACGTTTTTTGCTTTGTATTTCAAGGTCAAATCATCAAAACTGTTCAAATAACTCAAATCAAAAGACTCCGCTTTTTCAAAGGCTGCAGAAATATATTTGTGGCTAACAAATTGCAAATCTATATTTTGAAACAAAGATTTTCTGAACATTTCAAGATATGGTTTCATTTGAACTCCGCAAACATGCAAATCTTTTAATAATTCATTGTTACCGAGTAGTTCTTCAGATTCAATAACTCGGCAGTAAACATTCAACTTTCGGGGAATAAAATCTGAACTTTTCAAAATGGTTTTCAGGTCAACATAAGTTTGCAGAACATCTTGATTTAATTTCCCACTTCTTGAAACTAAGTCAAAATAAGCCAACCGATAACTCAGAGACTCAACTCCGTTAAATGATTCTACAACTTTAAGACAATCGTTAGATACATTTTTCTTTTCTCGAACGAAGCTCACAAACTTTGAGAAATCTTTCAAAGTAGACTGATGAAATCCCTTCAAATAAATAATGACTTTGGAGACGCTGGAAGAAAGAATCAAATAAACCGGTACCAAACTCGGTTCTGAGAGAACTACTAAAACGGCGTTATCCTGGTTTTCGTTACATTGATCGAATTTGTTTTTCAAAATATGATCCAAATAATGGAAGTAACAAACAGAATTGTTCAGACACGAAATAAAAGACGAGTCTTCTGTCCAAATTATTTCGTTGTTAGTTGAAATAAAATTTCCAAATTCAATTGTTCGAATAGATAAATCGGTCAAATTATCTACTTCAACCACGAACTCCAAGGATTCGTTTGAACGTATGATTCTAGAATTAACACTCGCAGGAAAAATAGCTTGACCCCAACATTTGCAACATTGATCATCACTTGGGTTTGTCGTTATTTGGAAATCCTCGCTTAGAAGCAAGTCGAAATAAACCATAATTGCATCAAAATATCCATTATTTTCAATTTGAAAAGATAGCTTTTTGGGCTTTTCAAATTCTTCTAAATAATTAGAGTCTGCAAGTTTCTTAAAATCAATTTCGAATATTTCTACCGCTCTCGATAGCAACTTATAACTACTAGAATTGGAGCTTAACATAACATTCTCGTAAGTAGCTGAGTCCTTTCGTCCAAAACATACAAACGGCAGCTTCACTTCATCCAAAATATCGTTTCGGAAATAAAAGGATCGTCGCACGATATCACTTTCAATGGGTACCGCATAAACAACAGCTCTTCTTGGAACACAGTCAATTTCCTCTATTGTTTTCGACTGTTGGGATAGTAAACTATTCAAAGTTTTGTGCATGATTGGTAATACGTGTTCACCGAAAAAAGCACAATCGAATATTTCGGTGACAATCATGTCAATTTGAGAATGAGGGAGAGACTCGGAGTTCACACAAAGTTGTTCAGCCAGACCACACACGACTTGAAACAAAAAGACGAACTAATAAGTTAAGAAGTGACCTGTTTAAAATTTTGAAGACTTCAAAACATTTACAATTATCTTCTATAAATCAATTCACGGCTTTTTTTAGATAAGCTTGTCAGGCGAGATTATGATTAGCGAGTTATCAGATTAGCTTGAATCAAATTTTCGAAGAAAAAAGATTTCAGAATCTTTAAACAATATACCTGAAATATTTAATTCTCCTGACTGAAATTGGTTTAGAACTTCTCTTGACATAGCACCCATTAGCTGAAACAAAAAAGCACAACTGAAGGAAACCACAAAATCATACTTTTTAATCCAGAAAACACACGGAGGCTGGTCAATGAGCATAATGGTGTCTAAGAGCAGAAAGGGCCCAAGAGCAGAACGGCATAATTATACGGTCTTATCGATAAAAACAGCATAAGAATCGTTAATATTATAAAGAAAATAAACACAAGCGAAACTGAGCTTCGAACTACTTGCGATACGACAACTGTGGAACACTTTAAAAAAGTATTTTGTTTCATGTTTTAATAAATTAAAAGTTTTCAAAGAGGTCCTAGTGCGGTTGACTTTGGGCATTCAAATATTGGTGCTATGAGTGTTATCGATCTCAAAGGTACTACCAGACATTTTAAGGAAAAAAATCGGTAAATAGGCCGACAGAATTATAGCCGACAGCCAATAAGCTGAAACTCAACTGCAAGCTGATCATTTTGTACAAAACTGCATGTCTCGCCCACATAGGATCCACCATAGCTATATATGTATTTTATGCAAAGAGGACTACAGGATTTGGAAACTAAACCGACAGAGCTTACGTCGACAACCTTGAAGCCGAAAAATCATCAGCAGAAAATTATAATCGGAACTCTATAATTATACATAAAATGGTTTCCGTTCAATATATAGAATGTACCAATAGTAACTAGTATCCAGAAGTTAAATTTGTATTTTAAAGAAAATGAGAATGTCAGCATTGATTAGACCGTATAAATCAAAATTGTTCTTTTTCTGCCCTTAGACCCTTTTCTGATCTTAGACCATTCTGCTCAAGGAACCCCTTCCAAAACAAACCTGTGACTTTTCGCACGCAACGATGTTTTTGAACCCCGCAAGAACACAGTATGCAGCTAAAAGTCCTGTCCCGGATCCCAAGTCGAAAACTACTTTGTCAGACGCTCCATTAGATTTGTCAAACACCTAAACGTGTATATTGAATCAAGAATGTGAAAAGAATCAGCGTGTTCGTGTAAGGAATGATTTTATAAGTCAAGAAATATATAGCAAACTTTTCTCAAAAAAAGATCTTTATCACCAAGATATTTTATTATTAAAAAATCTTCGATTTTCTTTGATTCCTTACTAGATATAGCTATTACTTGAATGAAAGAAAAAATACATTAAAAAGAATATAGCTAACATCATAATTACTTGTTTGATGGCTAATTTGTAAGTCAAATTCCTTCGCTTGTCATTCAGCATTCGGAAGAACCACTGATCAATGAAATTATTTCTAATCAAGTCAACCGCTTCTCTTCTCAGTTCTGTTACTTCTTCTGGTTCTGAGGTTCCACTATCATTCAAAGTACAGCATTTCCAGATGAGTTTGAAGGCACCTTCTTTGTCATCGAAGTTTGAGAGAAGGAGCTTCCCACATTCTAGGTTGAGTCTCGTATTGTTGGGGAACAATGATAGTGCCTGAAAACTTTCACAGCTATGAGAACAGAAAATGTACGTAGCGTTTAAAAGCTTATTGTTTTTACTTCCACCTAATCATCTTGGGCCTTTCTTCAGTGGGGTGGATATATAACATCCACTTTTCCGTACCCGGTCGGTCCGGTCCCCCTTTGAGGTGACACTGGGACCCCTTCAACAGTGATCGAAGTGGTATTCGAGTCAAAGACTTTCGTATTAAAGGCCGCGCGAGTTAAGGGCATAAGATCTATGACGTTGCAGCATGAGTTCTCATACTTGTGTGAAGACACCTCTTGAAGTACCCGTATATGTAATGGCAGTCATACAGATTTGTCTGAATCTCTAGTTGTTATCTATTCTCATTCCAGACTATCAGAAACCGTTATTTCTAATAACAGCTGAGAATACATATCAAAGATTAAACACAGGAGCGAAGCCGAGCATCGCATCACTTACGGTACAACACGCACTTAAAAAACATAAAAAGTCGAACAAAAATGAAAAAGATTGAAAAAAACTAGGTCTACCAAATTTTCGTTTGCCTCGATAAAAATTCATTCAAGGAAAACATGCGAAACAAAACACTTGAATATTAAATTAGCAACGGAATAAAACTTACGAAGCGGAAACAAAGCCGGCAATGTTTGAGCAGACATCAGCTGAGCAAAATAAATGATGAGGCAAACTACGCCAAAAAAACTTGAGCAGACAAACAAAACTCGGACAATTCAATTTTTACCGGAAAAATTTTCAAATTCATTCATACTGGGAAATAGCCTAGAAGGAAAGATGTTTACAGGAAAAAAGTCTAGTTCTCGATTACAAGACACTTGCTCTCGCGAGGAATAAATAATCGCGAGGAAACTGACTATTTAAGTCTAAGCAAAACATAATTTTCGCCACTTGAACTCTAAGGCCAGTTTCCCCCCACCTTTCTGAGACATTGTAGAGCGTGGTCTGTTCGGTCATCGTGGCAGAGTAGTTTACCAAAACAACTGGTCACTGTTGAAAACTCATCCTCGACTTCATCATCTGCAGGAGCAACAGATGTTGATGACGAGGATGATGATGGTATTTGACAAGAGTCCAAGGCCACACAGTACCAAGAGAAACTCGCATCAAACTGGTTGCTAAACAGGTAACAGTGAAAGCCTCAAACATTAATTGCAGATAAAACAAATGAAAAAATTGAACAACGTCTGTATTTAACGCTCAGCAGAACTAGTTCTAAAACCACTAAATCACCGGATCATTCAATTGCACTCAAAAATCCAGTAAACTCAGGCCATCAACATTTTCTGATAAAATTGTTCAGCCTCCTTTTACCTGTTCAGTGCAGATCGAGCTCGACCAATCAACTCTTTGTAAACTGAGGTCGAATCACGTGTTTCCGCTTCTCTCATTAGCTCATCCGGGTTCTGCTCATCCTCTTCCGAACTCATCTCTGAATCTTCTTCCGACTCAGAAGGAGGCGTCTGTTCTTCGTTTTCTTCTTGCCCATTTGATCCTTCATCAACACTTTTTAAGCTCGTGAAGTTAGATGAACACATTCGAACAGAAAACAAAGGCAGGTATACTAGAAGAAAAGAGCTCAGCTAAATTTGAAGACCTTTTGAAACCAAGCGACCGAAATAAGTTAAACCAGTAGCGTTTTCAGGGGAGACGCCCCCTCATGAATTCGCGACTCCTCTGACTACTCAAACGGTCTCGCTTTGGTGATATTTCTAGCGTAAGATAAATACTCAGCGGACAAATGTTATGTAAACTCCAGTTGAGCTACAACACAAATTTAGGAAAACATGACACTTTGAAACTCAAACACGCCCCTCCTCCGGAAAAACATAAGAGGATAAAAATAATAATTTTCTTTATATGACGCAAAATTAGGTCACTGATTCGCTCCAACATTAGCCGAATCAATTGAGGTCAAATGAAAATTTTAACCTAAAAAAAGGAAATTACAAAAAATCAGACGAAGTCAACTCACAAATTACAATCAAAACTTTCGATTAAAAAGAAATTGTTTACAGCACAAGACACAGCCGTGATATGTCATCTAAGCTGACAAAACAAACAGACAAACAAAAGGACGACAATTTTTGAAACGTTATATTTGTTTTTTGAAAAAAAAATCCTGACCAATTTTGTTGTCCCAGGCGTAGTCGCTTCCTCTGGATCAGGTGTGGCACAGAAGCTAAGAAGTCTGAACTTATTATAAACCAAGCTATCAAATGATTCAACTGATTTTGTTAACCAAGCTGCTAGCCTAAAAAGTCTGTATCTCAATTTTTAACGCATAATTTAAGCTAGCACAAATTACAGCACCATGCAGAAACATTTATCTCTTGATTTAATTAGTCGCTATTGTAGAAATCATAAGTGCATATATCTCACATTTTCAAGAGCGTTTAAAAAAAAATTTAGAACAAGGCAAGAAAACTCATTTCAAAATAGAAAATATGAAACATGTTTTTTATTTTAAATTGCTTGCCGCAAAAACAAAATTTTTTTTTAAATTTGAACTACTTAAAAACTTCAATTTACTTAATTTCGAATTGCTTGAAAAATTAAATTAACAGCTTTAAATTTTATTTTACCGCTGAATCTCTACAATGATGCTGGGGTTCAAAATGGCGTTGATTAAAATTGCTATGGCTCTCGGTTCCTATGTTCTCAACTCAGCTAGAAAGATACTTCTCTATGACAAACGGACTCTGAAAAAGCGGAAAACTAGCATTTCTTTACCTCAAACTGTAAAAAAACAATAAGAGGTTTTTTTGAAAACCCTGTTCTGCGAGTTATTTTGTCAAGCAAGGCTCTTTTTTAAGATTCAAGGCCGTTTTTACGTCTAGAACTTTCCCGTGGTGCTACTATTGCAGCCGAAATCGATCAAGGCTTTGGTAGATATGAAGCTAGAGGCCAAGAGAGACCTCGCGCTCACATACTATCACTCCATTGGCAGGGTATCGTATACACGATCTGAGGATCCTAAATTGAAAACCTTACCACACCGCTCAGTGCCTATATATGGTCATGAAAACCTAAGCGAACGTAAGGCCTGGCACTGAAAGAAAAGAGCTTTAAATAGATGGTTTGTCGCTGAGAAAAATTAAAGGTTGTCACTATTACAGAAAAATCAGCACTAAGGTACTCAAATCCATGGACGACAGGATAAGATAATTAACGATAAACTAAAACAATGATAGCCGGGTGCTGGGCAATTAGTACAGAACGTTCGACCACATTCATTAACTATTACAAAAAAAAATTTCTTTTTCTTCAAATTAGCGTAGTTTCTTCTGCGTGGTTTGATTATAGAACGATACAAACGCGTTGAAAGATAGGTAATTAGGCATAATTTACCCTAATTGTCTTCAAAAAAAGATCTACGAAAAAGAAAAAAAAATTTTTTAGAAATTCTGAAAATTTTTCTAAATTTTTTGCACTGAAAACTTTTAATTTGTATGAAAATTTTTATGGCAAGAGACCGCTTAGTGAAGCTTCCAAAACTGTTTGTTTTTTAAAAAAGAAATCGAGTTTTTTTTGGCCTAAATTGGCAATATTTATATGTAACGAATGTTAATCGATCGCTTTCCAGTCTCGAAATGGGACTAAAACTCAAAAATTTCAGATCGATTTTTTTTTGACACCCAGAAAAAATTTTGAAATTTTTAAGATCGTTCGAATCATGACTAAATGGGCTTCAACATGATGTATCACTCGACTCATTCCGATGATTATTTGTGGTACTTGATTTTGCCTGGAAAAAAAAAGAACTAAAACTTATCCGAATTCATAGTTCCTCCACATTTTTCAAATGGTCGAAACAATGACCGTTATTCGGAGTTCAAAATTCACAGTTATTCCAACGAAGACGGCAAAAATGTTGCTTAGTTTCGGGGATTTAATTTTCAAAAATGCTTGAATATAGCCGAACTTATAGTTAATTTCGCCACAGTAAAAAAATTTAATCTGACAACTGAAATAAATTACTTTCCAAAAATTCAAAAACCAAAACTGGCAAAAGAAAAATAAAAACTATTCAATTTTATTGGTCAAATGATTTCCGTTTTGAATAATTTTCTGTTTTTAATTTCCTGCGCAAGCTTTAAAACCGATAAAAGTAAAAAAATTAATGGTATTATACTGTTAATTATTAAAATGCAGAGTGCTAAATACAATGAAATTTTTTTTTCAAAATTCTTAAAATTTTTCTCAATTTTTTGCACTGAAAAACTTTTTAGTTGTATGAAAATTTTTATGACAAGGGAACGCTTAATGAAGCTTCCAAAACTGTTTGTATTTAAAACGAAAACGAGTTTTTTTTCGGCCAAAACTGGCAACATTTCTATAAAACGGATGTTAATCGATCGCTTTACAGTCTCGAAATGGGAATAAAATTTGAAATCGATTTTGTTTCGACACCCAGAGAAAATTTTGAAATTTTTAAGATCGTTCGAATCATGACTAATTGGGCTTCAACATGATGTATCACTCGACTCAGTCCGATGATTATTTGTGGTACTTGATTTTGCCTGGAAAACAAAAGAACTAAAACTTATCCGAATTCACAGTTCCTCCACATTTTTCAAATGGTCGAAACAATGACCGTTATTCGGAGTTCAAAATTCACAGTTATTCCAATGAAGACGGCAAAAATGTTGCTTAGTTTCGCGGATTTAGTTTTCAAAAATGCTTGAATAAAGCCGAACTTCAAGTTAATTTCGCCACAGTAAAATATTTTATCTGACAGCTGAAATAAATTACTTTCCGAAAATGCAAAAACCAAAACTGGCAAAAGAAAAATAAAAACTATTCAATTTTATTGGTCAAATGATTTCCGTTTTGAATAATTTTCTGTTTTTAATTTCCTGCGCAAGCTTTAAAACCGATAAAAGTAAAAAAATTAATGGTATTATACTGTTAATTATTAAAATGCAGAGTGCTAAATAAAATGAAATTTTTTTTTCAAAATTCTTAAAATTTTTCTCAATTTTTTGCACTGAAAAACTTTTTAGTTGTATGAAAATTTTTATGACAAGGGAACGCTTAATGAAGCTTCCAAAACTGTTTGTATTTAAAACGAAAACGAGTTTTTTTTCGGCCAAAACTGGCAACATTTCTATAAAACGGATGTTAATCGATCGCTTTACAGTCTCGAAATGGGAATAAAATTTGAAATCGATTTTGTTTCGACACCCAGAGAAAATTTTGAAATTTTTAAGATCGTTCGAATCATGACTAATTGGGCTTCAACATGATGTATCACTCGACTCAGTCCGATGATTATTTGTGGTACTTGATTTTGCCTGGAAAACAAAAGAACTAAAACTTATCCGAATTCACAGTTCCTCCACATTTTTCAAATGGTCGAAACAATGACCGTTATTCGGAGTTCAAAATTCACAGTTATTCCAATGAAGACGGCAAAAATGTTGCTTAGTTTCGCGGATTTAGTTTTCAAAAATGCTTGAATAAAGCCGAACTTCAAGTTAATTTCGCCACAGTAAAATATTTTATCTGACAGCTGAAATAAATTACTTTCCGAAAATGCAAAAACCAAAACTGGCAAAAAAAAATTAAGAATTATTCAATTTTATTGGTCAAATAATTTCCGTTTTGAATAATTTTCTGTTTTTAATTTCCTGCGCAAGCTTTAAAACCGATAAAAGTAAAAAAAATAATGGTATTATATTGTTAATCATTAAATTGCAGAGTGCTAAAAAAAATGAAATTTTTTTTCAAAAAGAACAATAAAAACGCGTTGAAAGTTAGATAATTAGGCATAAATTACCCTTATTGTCTTCAAAAAAAAAGATCTACGAAAATGAAAAAAAAACTTTTTTTTAGAAATTCTTAAAATTTTTCTAAATTTTTTGCACTGAAAATTTTTAATTTGTATGAACATTTTTATGGCAAGAGACCGCTTATGAAGCTTCCAAAACTGTTTGTTTTTTAAAAAAGAAATCGAGTTTTTTTGGCCTAAATTGGCAATATTTATATGTAACGAATGTTAATCGATCTCTTTACAGTCTCGAAATGGGACTAAAACTCAAAAATTTCAGATCGATTTTTTTTTCGACACTCAGAAAAAATTTTGAAATTCTTAAGATCGTTCGAATCATGACTAAATGGGCTTCAACACGATGTATCACTCGACTCATTCCAATGATTATTTGTGGTACTTGATTTTACCTGGAAAACAAAAGAACTAAAACTTATCCGAATTCACAGTTCCACCACATTTTTCAAATGGTCGAAACAATGACCGTTATTCGGAGTTCAAAATTCACAGTTAATACAACGAAGACGGCAAAAATGTTGCTTAGTTTCGCGGATTTAATTTTCAAAAATGCTTGAATAAAGCCCAACTTCGAGTTAATTTCGCCACAGTAAAATAATTTAATCTGACAGCTCAAATAAATTACTTTCCAAAAATTCAAGCCCAAAACTGGAAAAAAAAACTAAAAACTATTTAATTTTATTGGTCAAATGATTTCCGTTTTGAATAATTTTGTTTTTAATTTCCTGCGCAAGCTTTTAAACCGATAAAAGTAAAAAAATAATGGCATTAAACAGTTAACCATTAAAATGCAGAGTGCTAAATAAAATGAAATTTTTTTTTTCAAAAATTCTTTACATTTTTCTCAATTTTTTGCACAGAAAAACTTTTAATTTGTATGAAAATTTTTATGACAAAAGAGCGCTTAATGAAGCTTCCAAACTGTTTGTATTTAAAACGAAATCGAGTTTTTGTCGGCCCAAATTGGCAACATTTCCGTAAACGAATGTTAATCGATCGCTTTACAGTCTCGAAATGGGAATAAAATTTCAGATCGATTTTTTTTCGACGCTCAGAAAAAATTTTTGAAATTTTTTAAGATCGTTCGAATCATGACTAAACTAGCGTTTAACAAACCTCCGGTGTTTCGCAAAATCTCGACAACTCATAAACCTTAATGGGCCTCTGGAGAAATTTGGAGGCCAGATTTGCAACCACTGAGAGCACCCTACTATAGGGTCAGGAATTCAAAATTTTGAGAATTTTTTAAACCTAAGTTTCCCGAAAAAAAAAATTGAAAAACAAACGTCTTATCTCGGAAACTGAGAGGATTTGAGCATTCAAATTAGGAGGCAAGATTTGAGACGCCTGGGTGTACGCTGACAATAAGGTTGTATCTTCGTCAAGTTAGAAGTTTCAAATTTTTTGAATTTCGTTGTAGATAAGTTCTTTGAGAAATTTTGAAAAAAGCAAAAAACGTCACATCTCGGAAACTTAAAGCATTTAAGCAGGCGCATTTAGCAGTCGCATGTGGCAAGATTTGCAACTCTTCAGAGTACCCTGACAACACCGAACTAAAGCGTTGTGAATTTCAAATAATTAATTTAAACTTTCTGAAAATTTTGAAAAAATCACAAAAAAACGTCCTATCTCGAAAACTACAAGGATTTGAACAGTCATATTTGGAGGCAAGATTTGTAATTCCTTAGAGTACTCTGACAGCACGCAACTACAAGGTTGCGAATTTCATATTTTGAAAAAAAACTAATTAAAATTTTCTGAAATTTTTTGAAAAAATCACAAAAAAACATCATATCTCGAAAACTACAATAAACTGAGCAGTCATTTTTGGATGCAAGATTCACAACCCTTGATAGTGTACTCTGACAGTACCCAACTACAGGGCTGGGAAATTCAGATTTTTAAAAATTAACAATAAATTTTTCTGAAAACTTTTGAAAAAATCACAAAAAACTTCATATCTCAAAAACTACAAGGACTTGAACAGTCATATTTGGAGGCAAAAATTGTACTTCCCTAGAATACTCTGACAGCACGCAACTACAAGGTTGCGAATTTCAAATTTTGAAAAATAATTAATTAAAATTTTCTGAAATTTTTTGAAAAAATCACAAAAAAACATCATATCTCGAAAACTACAATGAACTGAGCAGTCATTTTTGGAGGCAAGATTCACAATCCTTGATAGTGTACTCTGACAGTACCCAACTACAGGGCTGGGAATTTCAGATTTAAGAATTAAAAATAAATTTTTCTGAAAACTTTTGAAAAAATCACAAAAAACTTCATATCTCAAAAACTACAAGGACTTGAACAGACATATTTGGAGGCAAAATTTGTACTTCCCTAGAATACTCTGACAGCACGCAACTACAAGGTTGCGAATTTCATATTTTGAAAAATAATTAATTCAAATTTTCTGAAATTTTTTGAAAAAATCACAAAAAACATCATATCTCGAAAACTACAAAGAATTGAGCAGTCATTTTTGAAGGCAAGATTCGCAATCCTTGATAGTGAACTCTGACAGTACCCAACTTAAGGGCTGGGAATTTCAGATTTTTAAAAAATTGTAATTTTCTGTTTTCTGAAAGTTTTCTGAAAATTTTTGAAAAAAATCACAAAAAACGTCATATCTCGAAAACAACAAGGATTTCAGCACTCATATTCGGAGGGAAGACTCGCAATCCTTGATAGTACTCTGAAAGTACCCAACTACAGGGTTAGGAACTTCAAGTTTTGTAAATTATTTTGTTCATTGAAATTTCTGAAAATTTTTGAAAAAACCTCAAAAATCGTCTCATCTCGTTAACTAAAATGATTCGGGCATTCAAAATTGGAGGCCAAATTCGCAACCCCTAACTCGATATTGGGCTGCTTAATTTAAACTCGTTAAAAAACCACTAAAAATCAAATTGGAAAAACGAAACAAAATTCTTAACCATTGGAATATATGATATAGCTTAAACATGCAAAAACAATACGTTGAAAAAGCATAAACATGGCGAGATAGTGAAGCCCGCATTTAAATATATAATAGATGGGCTTCAACATGATGTATCACTCGACTCATTCCGACGATTATTTGTGTTAATTAATTTTTCGTGGAAAACAAAAGAACTAAAACACACCCGAATTTACAGTTCCTCCACATTTTCAAATGGTCGGAACAATGACAGTTATTCGGAGTTCAAAATTCACAGTTACTCCAACGAAGACGGCAAAAATGTTGCTTAATTTCGCGGATTTAATTTTCAAAAATGCTTGAATAAAGCTCAACTTCAAGTTAATTTCGCCACAGTAAAATAATTTGATCTGACAGCTCAAATAAATTACTCTCCAAAAATTCAAAAAACCAAAACTGGCAAAAGAAACAACTAAAAACTATTCAATTTTATTGGTCAAATGATTTCCGTTTTGTATAATTTCCTGTTTTTAATTTCCTGCGCAAGTTAATTTAATTTAATTAAAATGCAGAGTGTTGCTGCTTGCCATGATTGGACAGAAACTGAGCTTCATATCATATCACATGCGATGAGAAATTTTAAAAAGTTAGATAAAGCTTTGGTTTCAATTGAGTGATCAGAATGAACTGACACTCCTAAGTCAAAATTTACAACATAAAATGCTACATTCGAAAAGACATTCGATAAACAACACGATTCTTTCCGCAAAATTAACGAAACTGATCAAATAAGATGAAATTAAACAAATAAGAAACTAACGCAAGTTGCAGCAAAGAGCCAAAAATTACGGATTGATTACATCTGGCGTTATAGTAAAAATGCTATTTAATATAGCCTAGTCACTTAAAAAGATCCAATCTTGCAGAAAACTATTGAGACCCAAAAAGATTCCCAACTCTCCGTAAAAACAATCTGAAATATTTCGAGAAAAATTCAACACATTGATTTTTTCTAAAAACGCTCAAAAACCTTGCCAGTAAATTTTCGACTTCATCTTTTAACTAGAACGAAACACAAATTGTTACTCACAGGCTTTAAAAAATCATGAAACGTAATAACCAGCGACAAACAAGATTTTAAAAAAAAATAAGCCAAAATCATTGAAAAATCTGCAGTCTCACAAACTATTGCCCAAAATTTTTTTTCTTGTTTTCTTTTCCAAAATATTCCTTCCTGAACATTTTACAATAAGCATCGAACCAAGAATAAGAATTTTTGAACATGAAGTTTTTGGAAGTTCTTCATTGGAAGTTTTTGGAAGTCCTTCAAAATTATCAGTCTAACAAAGACAAAATCGAAGATTAAATTTTTAAAAGCTACAACAACATTTTTTTTTACTTTTCGAGCTTCGTAAAAAAGCCTTCTGATTTCAAAAATAATCAAAGACTAACGATTTGTTGATACAACTAATAATCCAATTCTAGAAAACGGAATCCACATGTTTTGTCTTTTGCAAAGTATTGACTGATAGCCGAAATTGATGGTTTCGTCCATGTCGAGAGAACTCTCATATCAGAGGCAAAACGATGATGCATTAAATGATTTTAACAATACTCTCTTAACAGAAATTTTTCCAACAAAAGGTAAGTTTTCTAAATAATAGTAATAAAAATCATAATAGTGAGAGTTAAATCAACTATTTAAAAACTCAATGTGGCATGCAGCACAATGTCTAAACTGATTTCTTAAATTAAATTTCGCGATAACAAAAGACATGCTCTCAATTCTTTTGTAACTTCCAGCCGACAAGTAGTTGGCGAGTCTTCTTTTTAGAAGTGCCTCTAAATAAATGTATGCGACAAAAAGTCATGGTTCCCCATTATACAACAATGGTTCTCCAATGAAAATTGCTTTCTCAAAAAAAGCTCGCTCGCCATATCTTCCAATACTTTCGTCACAATCTGCTTTTTTATGTTGAGAACTCGGTTATAACAAAACTTTCAACAGAGAACTCGGTTATAACAAAACTTTCAATAGAGAACTCGGTTATAACAAAAAGCCTAAAACTCAGTAAAAGTGCCTAATATTTCAGTCTCATCCCCAAAACATCCCGATTTTAACAATTTAATTAAAGCTCTGAAGCGCTTAACAGAATACCAGATATTTCAAATTAGGCAACGAAACGGGCTCAATTGAATTTGAACTAGATTTACCTAAAAACCAGATCAATTTCAAAATTTTATTTTGAGTATGGAATATTATACAACCGTTTCATTGCCTATGTTTCAGATCTTAAACTGCATCGAGTCTTGGATCGCTTTGGATCTTAGACAGCTTCAATCATAATAAAGTATCACAGGAATGGTTTAGTCGAATGCTGATTGAACTGTATTTCAACAGACTCGTTCCATTATTACAAGAACCACGCTCGGGAACAAATCTTCCATCCACTGATACTATGATGGTTCACGAATCCTCTGACTAAACCTTTCTAACGTCTCCAAAACATCAGCTCCAACTTTCTCACATCCAAGAAGTCCTAATTTTTGATGTTAGCCATTTGATTCGAAGCGCGAATTCATAAACGCATGTTGATTTTGCATGTTGGGCTGCTGACGCGCCTGCGAACGCATGAAATCGTTGAAACTAGGACCCGGAACATTCGCTGCATTTCTGTCAAATGTGTTCATATTTCCGAACAGTCCAGCCAGCAGATTATTTCCATCGCTGTCCGAATTCTTTCTTTGGACTGTACTTGGGCTGTTCTGCAAGTTTGCCGACTCGAAAAGCGATTGCGCAATACTAGACCCGGAATTCTGTTTATTCATCATCATGTGTTGCTGCATTCCCATGTTACTGTTGGTGGTTAAGGGTTTCTGAGTATCTAACGACATCAGGTCAGGGGGGTTCTTATTATTTATACCGTTTAGTCCTGCAAATATAGGGCTATTCGACCAAATTGGATCGAAGCTCGGCAAGGAGGTTGGATTTGAACCCTGGCGTTGGAAGTTTCCTCCAGAGTTTCCTGGAAAACTGTCGTTTCGAACCAGTTTCCCTGGATTCGCGATAAAACTCCTTTGGTTCATGTCTTGATTCATAGAATTCTGCCGAGATAATGATTGATTCATAAACTGCGGAAATCTATCACTTGTAATTCTGGAGTCACCAACCGGCTGACTGGGAGGGGGAGGGTTATTCAAGAAAGCGGGAAAGAAGGAGTCGAAACCTGGAGGAGCGTGTGAATCATTTTTACCTTGAAACGAACTCACCGATCCTTCGTTCATTCTTCGAGAGTTCTCGTTATTGGCAAATAAACTTACACTGTTAGCAAAATTTGCGCCGTTAAGATTTTGCCTCTGGTTGCCATTCATCTGGATATTGTTGTTTTTATTCTGCTGTTTCGGGACATTCTGGAAGGACGCATTCATCAACGCGTTCGGAGGAAACGGCGGAAACTGATCATTACTCATCATTCGCATTGGTTTATTTGGCTGCATAGCGTTATTGTTGCTTTGAACATTTGCAGGCGCAAAATTCATAAACGGATCTTCTGAATTATTATTGTTGCTTGCGATTCTTGTCTGGTTTGGTATCGCATCCAACGGCAACGGTGGAGGCGGGAACGGCGGAAACAACCCTGGTTGCAAAACTGCCGATGGGAACAGCGACTCGGACTGGCTGTTATTTCCTCGATTATTACTCGAAACGCCACCCCCACCCCCGATCACTCCAGAATTCGACATATTTAGAAAATTATTGACCATCGGCTCACGCTTTTGTTGCGAATACCTTGGAACACCTGGTGGCGAATGTGCATCTTTCTGTTCTTGCATTTGGTTCTGAGAAGCTGCAGAATGGTTCATGTTTGGATTCATTTGCAGCCCCGGGAAACTCATTGCCATTCTTGGCGACGAGAAACGAGGACCTTGCGCCACCGGAGCACGAATGACTGGCGTGTTAGTAGGCAGCAAGAAACTTGGCTGTCGGTTAAATGAGGACCTGTCTCCTATTCTTTGGTTCATTTCCAAACTCGGGAAGTCTTTGTCAGACATCACATTCACATTCTTAGAAGGCGAAGGAGTACGATCAATAGTCTTGGGCGGTTCCACTCCGAAGGTGACATTTTTTGATCCATTGCTTCGATTTCGATCCAGAGAGTTAGAATTGAATGACTGCTGATTGAGAGCTATTGGTTGATCTACTTCTTGCTCAATTCCTTTTTCTAAAAAATTGGGTTTATTTGAAGATGTCTTCTGAGCTAGCGCGCCATTCGTAGTAGTTGTATTCTTACTAAAATTTGATTGAGCCGCCGAGCTTCCAGATTTCGGTTTGTTTTCACACTTTTGGGGACCTCTATTAACTCTATCTTTGCTGAAAAATCGCTTTCTCGACTCAATTTCGTCTCTGTCAACCGTAGCAGTAACAAGCGTTTCAAAACACAGCTTTCCATTGACATAAACTGCTTCCATCATTTTAGGCCGTAGCTCACAAAATTTCTCTCCATTCAGGCAAATTCTTCTAATTCTCTCTTTGATAGCATCGGAGCCTTTCAGAACACCATTGCTATTACAGGGCAAGGACAACTTGCTCAGTGATTCTCGCAACGGAAGGTATCCTTGCACCTCAAAATCTTCAGGCAAAGGTTTAGAATTCAAAACTTCATCCAAATTCACATTTAGGTCTTCGCTTGCTTTCGAGATTGAGTTGAGAACATTAACCAGAAGGGGCCAGATGAAATCGCGTCTCTCAAACTCTTCGAAACTCATCACAAATGAGTTTTGACTTATCCAATCGGTCAAGATCTTCAATGCGGGCAAAATGGGGCTTCTAACCAACGCTTTTCCTTCGATGGGTACTGATAACTTCTTCAAGAAAACTCCAAAAGTAGAGAAAATAAAATCAAGTGCAATCGATAGAAAACCTTGTTCCACTGAGGGAAGCTCCGCGGAATCAAAACGCCGAGAATCAACTGCAAACTTTGCCAAAATGGAATCTCCAGAATGCAAAATTGACCAAATGTTAAACACCAACACGTAAACTAATCTTACCAGAAACTTCCACGAAACTGTTCCCGAGTTTTCGCTGAAAACTGACAAAAAGTTGGTGGTCATATAATCTTTTGCGTCTTTCGCAAAGCCAATGTCTTGCGAAAAGAAAACCAAAGCATTGAAATAACAGAACACTTGCTCGAAAATATTTAAATCGGGCCCCGACTTTTCTGCTAACAGCTTTTCAGGAACCTCGTATTGAGACATTTTTGTCAACGTTGTCGTCAGATTCGCTACAGCCCCTAGAAAAGCATGTTTCACAGTGAGGCTTCTCGTCAAATAGAAAAACGTGGACAGAAGATCTTCATTTTTAGTTTGCAGAATGATCCCCAGTTGGTTATATGGTCTACCATTCAGCGGTCCCAGCAGAATCGCGTTTTCATAGTAACCCTTCGCTTGTTCTACCAAACATCGGTACCTCGCAATGTCTCCGAGATGAATCAAACAGTCCTGCACTATATATTGACATGAAGATGCTTTTGGTATCTTTGAAACATCATTACCACTTGCGACTTGACAGTCAGATGCAAATAAGCCCAATGTTCTTGAGTCTGCGAAACCTGGAACGTCCTTTAGTTTGAATTTATAGCACATCTCCTGTAACATCAGAACATAAAACCCATTAGAAGACTCCAAAAACGACGTCAAAGCAGCTTGCGCTTCCGCCCTTTTCGGATTCTTGCGATCCTTCGACTTCTGCTGTTTCGCAGTTATGAACTGTCGAAAACAATTGTTCCATAATTCAATGTCAACTTTCCTTCCAATCGCGAAATCAAGGTCATCAAGTAAGACTTGTCTGTATATAAACTGCAACTGATGGCGCAAATTTGTCAAAGCGCTATTTTCAAGCTCCAGCTGGTCTTTCAATTGAATCTTGAGGTCATCTGCATCTTTTAGCAGCTCCACTGTGCTTTTGCTTCTACTTTTTGCCATCGTCTTCAAGCTTCTCGCTTCTTTAATCTATCCCACCTTTCACTTCTCAGAGTTGGATTTTGAGGATCTGAGTCGGCTATCGGAGATCTCTGGGTGCCAATAGCGGGGTTCTGTCAAGGAGGCACTGACGATCTGACCTGGGAAGGGGTTGCGGGCCGCTGACAAGAGGGCCGTCTGGGCAGAAAATCTTGGCAAGTCGTCATTCAAGACATAAATCTGAAACAAAGTATATATTGATGCACTGCAAAAACACCTAAATTAAGTTGAAGCTGTAAATATGAGTCTCACCCGCAATATGATTTAACTTAATTTAGATGTTTTTGCAGTGCATCAATATATACTTTGTTTCAGATTAATGTCAGCGGGTGAGACTCATATTTACAGCTTCAACTCATAAAACCATGAAGGTTCTGATAGCAGTTATACATTGAAACAAATATAACACAAAAGGAATGGCAATAGTTTCCCTTTTTAAGAAGAGCCTCGATAATAGATTAAAAAGTTGTATATGAAAAGTTCCAGATTTCAAATTCCACAAAACGAGAGTCTTATATTCCAAAATTGCAGCTCTATAACACTGTGTATTGAGAGGCAATTGTGTTGAAACCATTGAAGAACGACAAGACAACCCAAGAGAAAAGTTACTTTTTCTGCAGTAAACAAAAGCGAAGTTTTTAATGAAGAGTCTATAGCTCAAAAAAGTAAGTTCTGTCTGGCAGCCTAGTATATCCCGATCAATTGTTCTTAAAATAGGCATCTATCATTTGTAAAACTAAAATTGAAGGACTAAGAACTGAAAAAATTCATCTGAAAACTAAAAACTTAAACCTCAAAACTCAAGTCTTACTTGGACTGCTATATAATAGAAAGGTAACTGACAACAACAAAAAAGTCGAAAAAAAGTTGAAAAAAACTAGGTGAACCAAAATTTTCGTTTGTCTCCATAAAAGACAACTAGAAGCCGAGTCAAACTGGAGGTACGTGTATGATATTTTAGAAATTGTTATACCGATGCGTAACGAGATGCGTTATTTCAAAAATTGGACTTTGCCCAAAACCTTAGTGGTTTCTCTACTAAAATAAGTTAGAAGAGTGAAAAAATTTGAGATATTGAAATTTTCCTCCGGACAAAATTTCTCCTACGAAAATTAGGAGTCGCCGCTTCTGCAGTTCAAAAACTTGAATCACCGAAGTCAAAAACCTTTTTTCTGCAAAAAGCAGGTCTTGACTTCTACACTAGAAAAGATTCCAATTAAAACAGGTTTTCTTGATTGAACAGCTTTCTTTCTCAGCGGCCAATTTATAAAATTTAACTTTTAAAGCATAAATGAAATGATTGAATGAAGAATCAAAAACCATTCTTGGACCATAAAACTACAGAAAAAAGTTAGATAAGACAATAAAATATAAATAGAAACCATTTAGGCCGAATAAAAAGCTTCTAAGTGAAAAAAGAAATGAAAATATACGTCACGTGTAGAAAAGTTACAAATTACAAAAGCAAATCTACAACCCTTGCAACTACAAAAAAAATAGAATTCTGCTCAAAAAAGTTCGTGATGTGGCAAAGGAGCCGACAAAACAGATGACAGAGATAGATGAAAGTATGGCAAATCAATTTTTCTGAAAAAAGTTTAAATATTGAAAAAACAAGGACCGACTGGTACTCGAACTGGAGAGCTTAGGGTTGAAAGGCAATTGCATTACCTCTCGTTTATGTTTTGACTGTTGTTTCAAGGTTCTACAATGGAGCAAACTCAAATTTTTACAGATTTGTAAGATGGGAAGAAAAGTATAGTTACCCAGAATAAAAAAGTTGCTCTCGCAAGTGTATTAGAAATCTTCAATTATCGGAACCTTAAAAATATCAGCATAAAACGATTTGAGGGCTGACTCGCAAGACACGGCATTCACGATAGGTTTGAAAAACTTCAATTGTGTTAATTGATCTAAGAAGTTTTTTTTCGAAACTTTTGAAAAAATAACACAATGTGGATTTCAACAACTTTGAAATATGTTCCTTTCTCTTTTTTAGTCCACTTCATTACAAAATTTCATAAACAATCAACCATTTTCATTGATTACAGTCTAATGCTAGAATATCCATCTACAGGCTCAGGAACTTCGCGGCATCCACCGACTCATGTCACAGTACTGCAGGAAAATTAGGGAAGGGTTTTGTGAACATTTGAAAGGATAGCGATGAATAAGGGGTGCTTGTGAGCATGTTGGTGATGGATGACAAAGAGAACTGTCTAGGCGGTAAAGGTAAGTGTTTAAAAGCATACAGTGAGTGCTTACAGTATTTCTGGAAAAGAATCGTTCTGAAGGGCCAATTGAGGTAGGACGGATACAGATTTGTCACGAGGGATACTGAAAAGTCAAATTTGGGGGAGAGGCTTTGGCATGGAACTTGTTTACCTGCCTTTTGTGGCTACGTTTTAAAATACGTTTAAATTATTTCAAGGGAAGAGACCTTGTTTCGGTCATTAAGATATGGGGTAGGTTTTCATTCAACGGAGGGTCGGATAGAAGTTTTGTAAGTTCTTCCTTGAAGTGATTCCTAACAGATGGACTTACTGGGCGAGTGAGAGAAGGTTAGTGTGAAAAAACTGTCAAGTGGTTGGAAAGGTAAAGGGAGATAAAACTTGAGGGGTTAAAAGAGTGTGGTAGTTTTTGACATTTAGTATTGCAACTTCACTGTGCAAATGGGCAGTGGAACCCATGAAAGTAGAACCAGCAATGACAAGAAGCGCTTGATTTTGGGTTTTTACTGGATAGGTGAGACCAGGAAGCGTAATCAAGTATAGGTCTGATAGGGCATTATAAGTTAAAATTAGTTTCTCAGGTTTGAAACGAGGTTGAGCCTGCGGCAGACGTTTGCAGTGAGAAACAGACTTTGGAATCGGTCAAAAATGAACGCCTGAAATTCTGAGATTTTTGCTCAGCGGTAGAGTCTCATTATTGAGACAACAGCACATTAATTAAGTCTTATTTGTCAGATAAAAAAGGGTTACTGATCCTTCAGAGGACTCAAAAAAAAAATTCGTGTCTAACCGACTATCTAGAAACACCATTGAAGACAAAACTTATTTAAACTGAACTTAATGAGAAATCCAAAGTCAAACCGCAAGAAAATAAAACTTGGAGGTGAAAACATTTTGATGTTACTAACATTTGAACAAAAAACTCAAATCGTCTCGACCAACAAAAATTTCTTCAATTCGTTCATTTCTTGTTGAGTCGTTAGAACAAAAAACTACATAATCATCCATAAACTTATCATTTTTCGAATCTAGGCTCAGTAATTTTTTCATTTCCGTGATCCGTTGTTTTTATGCAAGGTACGGTCCAAGCCAAGTTCATAGGCTCCCCAAAGAGCAATTTTGAAATCATAAATTCAAATTCCTTTGTGTTGCTTATGCCTATGTTTCCACGACAAAAACACATAATAAACTAATTACGATTGACTGTTTTATTGACGGCTCCAAAACAAAATAAGTTTTCATTCAGCCAGATCATTTTAATAAGTTTCATCAACCATGCGTCAACATTAACCAATATCATAAGATGCGAAAACGACAAAAACGAGCAAAAAAATTTAGTGAGAAAAAAAAAAACTTACAAAACATTTTTTCAATTTCTCGGTTGAAAACTAGACTGACAATTATTAACCCTGACTAACTGACATGTTGAAAAACTGGGCCTCATATCGAATGACAAACCTCTAGAGAAAGAAAACCTCTGCTGCTGTAAATTGACCTGAAGATCTAAGTGCTTCTCAATATAAGATTTTTTACTTTATGCATCAGTTTTATGCAGCGTCTTTTCCTCAATGATTGACAGATTTTACAAAACTATTAATTTGTTAACAATCAAAAGAAGGCATTGTTCAAATAAATAAACGCAATCTAGTAATTCAAATCGTCCTCTTCCACATACGCGTTTTGATTTGGATCGAGAGAAACGACATTGTCTTCGCCAGTTTGAAACTGTTCGTTCATCTCTGGTTCTGGCGAATCTTCAAACGGTTCTTTCGGTCCAAGTTCGTCGGCAACTTCTAACTTCTCCTTCATTGACATTTCCAAGTAGACGGTAAAATCTTTCATCATCTTCAACAAATAGTTCGACTTGTTATTCAAATCTTTCGCACATGTTCGATATTCTTCCATAGACTTTTTCAAAGTTTCGAGCTCCTCTGATATTTCAGATTGTCCATTCAATTTAATCTTAGTCTCTAGTTCGTCAATGATGTCCACCAGCTCCAAATACTTATTTGTACAATTATTGTTGATTTTATTCAACTCGTTGTTTTTTTCTTCTATCTTCTTCAACTCCGCGATCCTTGAGGAGTCCTGGTTGAATTTTGTACCTCCTAGACCAAACTTGTTGTTTCGCAAATACTCGCTTACATTTTCAACAGGTTCGACTAAATCAGAACTCATTGATTACTTAATAGAATATTGAACCTTCGAAAACAACAAACAATTATTTTAAACCTTGGAAAAACAAAGAAAACTAGTCCATTAATTGCTGCAGATTTCGCTCCGCTTTCAAAATAACAAAAATAATTTTCTAAAAACGTATTCCCTAGAAAAGACAAAATGTATCAAGGACAGGTTGCTGCGCAAGAAGTACAGAATGTTCCGATTCAAAATGGGAGGTCAGCCTCATTAATTTTTGTCTAATTTAGTCTGAAACACAAAAAAACTCAGCTTAGTTTTTATCGATACAATGTTGATACAATTTTTTGATTGTTTTAAAGAATCCCACTCGCAATCATTAAAACATTCATGTGATAACGAAATACTTACTGAATCTTTCAGACCATTTAAGAATTTCGTTGTAGATATAGAAGCATTCATTCGGGATGCAATCTTCAGATGATATCAGGCCCGAAGAAACATTCATCAACAAACACAATTGTTCAGTATTTATGTCCAAGTTCAGCTTACGGCAAAACACAATAGAGGCAGCCGAAATAATATGATTCAGGTATGTCAAATTATTATTTCTAACTTCTCCCTGAGCTGCTTCGGCGATTACATCGGGTTCCGATTCATCAAAGGATACCTTGCGTGATTTCTCTGATAGCGGCGTCACTCTTCTGAAAACAACATCCGGATGTTTACGTTTCTGGTATTCGTAAATAGCAGCTCCATTGGTTAGATGGAACGCAATGAACTTGAATGCCGAAATCTGCTGACTAAAAATCGGAGAGTCTGGTGTGATGTCTTCCAACGGATTGTGAGCTGGGGGCGGGGCAATAGAGAGAACAGAGTTCACTTTGCAGTTGGGCCATGTCCCAATTCGATCTAGCGCGCAAGCCAATGGGCAGTTCCCTAGAACAGTATCGCAATAAAGCAGTTAACAACTGAACTAAATCCTATTTATGAAGTAAATAAAGTAGAAACATAAAATTGATGCAAAAATGTACAAGAACTATTTCGCAAATCGACTTACAAATAAGAATTGCCGGACAATGACACAAGGGTTCGCGCGTTTTTTTTTTGAAATAAAATAAATAGTTGGCACACAAGTTTTTTAGTGCAAGTGACAGACTAAGAACATTAGTGACGTTTATTGGTTAAAATTATCTGTGCAAATATACCGAAAAAGATATTTGCAATGTATTAGAATTAATAAAATTTGAAGCTTAGGCGAATCGGAAGAGTTTATTGAAGCTTCAAAAATTAGTTTTTTTACTGAACAAACTGCTTCTTGATTTACTCACTGGCTTTACTTGCTCTATTTAGGTTTTTCTGGATAAAAAGTAAATTCACAAAATTGATCGAATCACAACAGAAAGGGCTTTGAAGAATATATCACTCTAACTATTCTAAGTTTTGATGCCGTAAAAAAATACGGAACGAACTCATGACGACAGCATTCCGGCGTTTTGCTCGGCCAGCTAAAAAAAATTGAATCACGCAAAAAAATTGAGGAAGACTTTTTCGAAATTTCAATAAAAACTGAACAGGCTCTCTAAAATAACAACACTTGATCCTGCAGATTTATTTGAGGTACCTATAATCCCGTGGAAAATATGCATAATTTTCAAATTGTCACTGACCGCCACCGAATTGGAATAAATTTTATATTTCAAGTGTTTTGCTTCATTTAATTCATTTTTATTGAATGGCAACTACTTCTTTTTAGAAATTGACTTTCGGCTAATTATGTTTTCGGTCCTTCGCCCATGAGTTTTTTCGCCCAGTCGGTCCTTCGCGCATGAGAATAGCCCCCGTACGAAACTACTACGACCAATTAGCTAGCCTCAATTCAATTGGGAACGATTTTGTTGAGCGGGATAACTCACCACGCATAAATAATTCGCGTTACGCTCTCAGCATTAAGAATAAACTCTTCGAATAGCGCACAATTTAGTCCAGAATATGGCAAATTTGGCGATTTTCAAACCTCCAGAACTTTACAAAATATTATCGGAGGTGAAATATCTTTTTACATTTGAAGGCAGGAAGTCGATATCTTCAATGGGGTTTAAATTTTTGTCGAAAAATATTATTTCGATCGGTGAAAATTGACTGAATAAAAAAAACACACCGATCATAAAAATTCGGAACAATAAAACCGTGCAGGGTAAAACTTGTTTCAAAACCCTTTACATTTTTGAGTTTCGGTTTTTCATAATTTACCTTTTTATAGATATCACGTACGCTTAAAACTGAAACTTAAATTACAGGCGAATAAATTGACAACGAAGCCGATTGTTTCAGCCAAAAACGGAACAAAATTTATTCTAACAGCACGCTCAAAAATTCTCAAAAAGAAGTTGGGGACTGATTTAGCGGACAATTTCTAAGCCCTTTTTAAGAAAGCGTGGAAATAGTCCAGGATTTTTGCAACCAACCAGAACAAAATAATTTACATTTGTAAGAAACAAAACGCTAAAAAGAACTTAGTGAATTGCACTGAGAATAAAGAAATGGGATTTTTCAAAACCAAAGTTCAGCAAACGAGAGGTATTTTAACGTAGTAAAAAACAACTGATTTTGTTTTTCCGAAGTTTTTCGAATGAATATCTGATCGTTTATTTCCGATCTTTAAACAAAGAGGCAGAGCGGCGCTTCGCAGCAATTGTGATTCAAGAAAAACTTAGCATAGTAAGCTAGCAGACATGAAATTAGACAGAATCTACTAAGTCGAAAAAATACATCTACCACCAACTTCACACAATTGCTGTTCAATTAGAAGGAAACATAACAAGACACAATCACTGCTGTTAAAAAAAAGCATTGAAAATCACTTACCGAGCGGCAACTAAGCCGACAAAACTTAGATAGAGGTCACATTCAAATGACGCAAAATGAGGAGGATCCAATTAAGAAAAAACTTTTAAAAAAAGAGTTGGCGAACTTATAACTCGCATAATAATATAGAATATAAAATGTAATAAAGAACTGAACTACATCAAATTAGAGATCTTCAGAGACTTTCCATTTATAACTTTATAACCAAATAATTTATAACTTTTTGATAATTAATAATAACCATTTGATAGAGCTCACCCATTTAACAAAATTGTACCGGATCAGAAAGTAAATCAATCAATGGTAAATTTGAAAAAATCAAAACCTATTTTGTTAATGGCGAGCGTAATTTTTTTTTTGCAACCAGCAATTGGCTTCGAAGTAGGCTACGTCAAAAATCAAACACCTGAATTATAAAAATAAGCGTTAACAACTTTCCAGATTTTTTCTGAATACCACCAAGCCTTAACAAGTGAACACTCAATTAGTGCATTAACACGCAAAGAAAAAGAAACTCTCAAGCAGACCCGTACTTTGATCGCATTTCTACAAGCGATCTTGAGGGCGCACTTTAAAATTACTTGCGACAAAACGGCGGAAGCTCGAAAAGAGAACAAAGAAAAAAAAACAGAATTATGTTTTTCAAAATCAAAAATTATGGCACAGAGACGAGGTCCGCTTTCGTAAAAGAAGCGAGAACTGCAAAAAAGATTGAGAGTACAAGAAAATACAAAAAAAGGAAACTACTCAAACAAATTAGCAAACAAATTTAAAAAAATAAGCAGCAATTTTTTTTAAAATCGTATCTACTTGATACCACCCGCACTTAGATTTAGCATCCCAAATCCTGACACATAAAATCGCTGTTTTTAAATCTAACCACCGAAAAAGCGGATGCAAACCATGCGATTAAATAGATGATGCCAAAACGCTATGCAGCAAAGTTCCACCAAGTTCTTCGGCATTGATTTGGTTGAGTTGCATTGGAAAAAAGGACTGACGGTATTACACAACTATGCCAAGCTCGCTGGCAAAAATAAGTTTCGAACCGACCACAAGCAGAGTCAAATTTCTTCATAATTACGCCAAAGCGCTTTGCTGTCTGGTAACCTTAAAAAGCAGATAAAACTTAAAAGCTAAGCAGCAAAAGTGCTTAATGGTTGATTAGTATTTTAATCAAATTAGCTTGGGAAAAGTAGATTTCTAACATAACAAGCAAGCGTTTGCAAGTGCACTTTGGGAACTAAAATGAAAGAACATGGACAAAAAAGAAACTTTTTCTTGAAACACTAAAAGCTTTAAACGAGTGAGCTGATCCAGTTCATGAGAAGCTGAATTGTGAGACACAGATGCGAAGCGGAGCTTCTCACCACTTGTGATATCACAAACATCATTACATGCTAGCAGATAGAGAACAGGAGGATCCAAACGACGCATCCTTTAAATGGTGGACTCGACTGCCTGGCTCGCGAGGTTGCAAATGGCGTCACACCCCCTCCCATGGGTCGAGTTGAGCTCAGAAGCCTCCGGTTTTTCGGTTACGGAGCGTCTGAAGCCGGTCAGGCTGCTCCGTCTGCAAATACTCAACTTACTCCTTCGCTCGGGTATTTATCCAAACCCTGGTCCCTACAGTTGTTCCCCGTACAACCAAAACATACACCGTAACCAAAAAAATGTCTGGTGTCACATGTGGCTGCAGAGATTTTAAATTCAGCGGCTTTAAAATTTGAAAAGATCATAACCGCGATTTTTACTGCACCCTCTGCACTTCTACGTAAGTTTTACGTCTACCCGGAACCAATTCTCCCGGTAACAATTTTCCCCAATCACATAACATCGAATCTGTTGCCTATACCGGCCCACCCTACTCGCTCCCAGAACCCACCACTGACTAATCCCATTAACTCCTCGACCGTTTCCGTAAACGACACCCAACTGACTAGAGGAACCCTCAGAATACTGCTACAATTCAACTGTAATGGAATATTTGGGAAAGTTTCCAAAATCGCAGCTTTCCGAGCCCAGAATCAAATACATATTGCTCGCTTCCAGGAAAACAAGTTTCAAAATTGCTCGCTTCCAGGAAAGTGGTAACCTCTCCCAAGGTCCTTCATACTCACTCATCTGTAAAGACAGAAACAAAGAGGGTGGTGGCCTCCTCATTGCTATCCATGAATCTATACAGTACGAAAAACTTACTTTGAATACCTACGGTACGCTAGAGGCTATGTGTATTTTTGTTAGCCAGCTTGTCGAAACTTCGTATCAGTGACTTCTACATACCCTCCAGATCTAGTTGTCCTCGCACTTATACCCCATCCCATACTGAACTCCTAGTTCCTGCTGATGGACTGGTACTGGGAGACACCAACGCCTAATCTTCCCTTTGGAATTCTTATGTCGAAGATAAACGTGGTCAAGTACTTTCCAATGAAATTACGGAATCCACTTTTGCGCCATTAAAGGACAACACCCAAACAAAAGTACCTTTTAATTCTGATCCACAACCTTCCTCTGCTGATTTCCCAATCGTTATTTTTTTTACTTACTGCATCCTGGACCCCAATCAAATCCCTAGGCTCCGACCACCTCCCATTATTTATCGAACTACCTCTCGATAACGACATACCTTTTTCTCAGGAAAAAACATACATAAATTTCTTGAAGCTGATTGGCACCAATTTACCAGGGAGAAAGAGGCGGGTTTCCTCGCAGCGGGATTCCCTCTTCAATTGCGGCGGGCGATAACATATTACGGGATCTGGTGCTCAGGACAACACGCCACTACATCCCCGCTGGGCATCACCGCAACTACTTTCTCTTTCTCTGGAGTCCACTTCTCTTGCTGCTCTCGTTGCACATCTTCCTAAATTAACTCGCAACTCATAATTCAGACAGCAAAAGACAAGATAATTAAACAGCGTAAATTTCTCCAGACCTAAATTTATCGCACTGGTGCCAGAATTTTCTGGAGAATGGCACACTCCCTAAACGGATCAAGCCCTGTGGTAGGTAGGTACCCCATTACATTTAGCTCTAGAACTATAAGCTCAAACACTGATATAGCAAAAGCGTTTAATAAGCAATTAAAAATGCTAGGAACTATGTCTCCGACAAATTATTCAGGCTAGCAAAACGCAAACTTTCTCTGTCTGATAGTCCAATTTTCTTCCCTCAACAAACTAAACAAGCCATTGCGGATAGCAAACCCTCACGAGCACTCGCTCCGGATGGTCTCCGCCTTTGTAATTTCCACCTCAAACACCTCGGACCTCTTGCACTTGATTACTTGACTTACTTAAATAACCTTTTCCTGTCTGACAGCATTATCGCCCAAATGTGGAAAAACTTCAAAAGCAAAGTTATCGCCCTGCCCAAACTTGAAGAAGACTAAAATTTCTACATCGTACAGGTCTAATTAACTACGGTGCGCGCAGTCAAAATTTTGGAGAGGCTCATTCATCCCATTTCAACAAAGCATCTCTCAAATGCCACACACCAACACGTGTTCCGCCCACTTCACTCCACCACAACCGCACTAGAATTCTTTATTAGTGATGGCTTTAACCAAAACCGCTCTCCCTTACGTACTGTTCTCGCCACACTTGACCTTTCCAAAGGATTTGATATGGTGTGATACTAGTGGAACACATTCAAGACACGCAGCTGCCGAGAGGTATAGTTCGCTTGCTAAGCAACTACTTATTGTGGTCGAAAAGCCACCACCATTTTTTGTAAGCAAGTATCCCCGCACAGAGTTGTTCACTGTGTTGTTCACCAGTGCTTTGTTTTTATCACCATTTCTTTTTAGATTTCAGCTCCACGACGCCCCTCCGCCACCAAAAAACGTTCACCTCACCTCATACGCTGATGATTTCCACCCCTTCGCCCCGACGTTGAGGCAGCTGCGTGCTCATTATATGATTAAATGCACCGACTTTTTTTTGATTTTTTCACCTCCAGTTAGCATTTGTGTCCTCTTAAGGATAAGTTACCCTGCTTTTGTGATAAAACAAAGATTTCAACAAAACTCCTACTGTCTTTTTAAAAACGAGCCTCTCCCCCCATAAAACTCAAAGGATTACTTTAGATCCAACCCCATGCTTTGCCTCCCATTGCAAGTGATCTGTCACCACACGCCGCCAGCAAAACTTCTATTAGTCACCCGCAGATCACCTAAAATCAAGCCCTCCGTGTTATCAATGGATCAATTCTTATAAGCTCCACTGCACACCTGTGCAATGAAGTCGAATGCCTGGAATTTCCAAAGCATTGCTCCCTTTTAACCTCTCAATTTTTTAAGAAAGAGAAAAGCCACAAAGCCAAAAACAAACTGACACAGATGCAAAACTGAACTTCGCACCACTTCGGATACAACAGGATTAGAACAGCATGCTCTTCAGAATCATCAAAGATAAACTCCAACAACAAAAAAAAAGAACAAGAAAACTGAAAAAAAATTTTTTTTCAAAATTAATTTATTTATCCTTGTTTAGCTGGTTTTGAGCAATCGATAAAAAGCGCTTTACTTCAATGGTTTTAAAAATTGAAACACCCGTATCTGCTAAAACTCCGTGCACACAGAACAAAGCAAATATTTTTAAAAAAAATTGCAGCTATGTCCTCGTTTTTTTTTTACTCAGGTACTTCCACTAGTGGTGTTCAGAAAGATAAAAAAACCAAATCTAGAAAAAGAGTGAGTTCTTGATACGAGATCTATGCCGACAAAAAACAGAAAATTCCAAATTAAAAAAAGAGGTTCCAGCCCGGATTAAAACATCAGACCTTTATCGTCTAAAGCTCGTGTTTTACCTTTACATGAAATGCCCCGGCCGAAAGATTAAATTTGACTTTTTTGTTAACCAATTTGAACAAAGAGGCGAAGCCGAGCTTCGCACTACTTGCGATACACCAGAAAACAGTCACAAATTAAACAAAAATCAGAAATGCCGATATATACCAAAACGAATTTTAAAAGAAGTATCACAAACTTACACTAATACAATATAAAGTAGAAAAAGGATCATAAGAGAAGCTAACCAAGCTGTAAACAAACCGAGAGTACCTGAGAGAAACCCCTTGAGGCCGAAAATTTAAAAAACTTGAAAATTAATAAATGTTGTCAAAACCCCATACCCTTCAAAATACATACACACACAATGTTTTCCACTCATTAAACGACAAAAAAATGGGGCCAAATAGCCCAGAAAAGATAGACTAAAAGGATTATACCGAGAAAAGGAGAAAAAAGAAACATAAAAATTATTTAAAAAAACAAGACTCAAAACTGATAAAAAGCCCATCAACTTCATTACGCACACACATACACATTTTTTTTCTTACGGAACGACGCAAATTGAAGCCAATAAGCCACAATAACATCAGCCCAAGCCAAATTAATCGAGAAATAAATTTTAAAAAACGAAATAAAAACAAGAGTTTGTAAAACTACAACCAACCTTATAAGCAAATTTCGAATAGGACGGATATTTAAAAAGTTCACGTGCTCAAAACAGATTTGCTGCGATTTGCAATAGAGAGACGAATGCCGTATTTCACAGTGCAACATGCTGAAAATGGAGCTCTCGAAATTGGAAGTCATTCTGTTGACCAAGTTTACGGGAAAAAAGTCTAGATTGCAGTACCCGATTGCATTACCCTTGCTTTTTCAAACGAATTTTCAAGAAAATTAGCATGTCAGCAGCATATCAACATAGCAGCAAGTGATTTCATTGATGTAGTTAAACTAGTTGTCAACCCGAAAAAGTCTATATTTTGATTTGATAACGCTTGCTATTCGCAAGCGTAAAAATATTTCAAAAATCCATAATTACAATTATTTCAATGTTTTGCCTAAAATGATCATTAATGAGAAAAACAATTTCAGAAACACTGTCGCCGCCGAGTGTTCAAAATATTTATCGAGCGGTATTTAGGCCAAAAAAAACTGAGAATTCCCGTTGAGTCGAAAAAAAATTGTTGTCATGAAAAATTTTTGAAAGTTCTCAAATTCTAAAATTTAACGCTTCCCCTCCGAAAGCACCAAAAAGGATCAAAATTCTTTCAAATGACACAAATTCAGGTGGCTGAGATGATATCGATACATTTGAGGCTAAATAAACTTATAGCGGAAAAAAGGAAATAACAAGCAAAAAATCAGATTTAAAAAATTAACAATTTACAGGAGTCAATCCAAAATATTTTCAATTACTATGAAAATTATTTAGAGCACAAAAAAAAACTCCGTGATGTGGCAATTAAGCTGACGAAACATAAGCAGACAAACAAGCTCAAACGTTCTTTTTTTCAGTTTGAAAAACAGGTCGTGGTAAGATTCGAACCAACGACATTAGACGTCCCAGTCTCAATTTTTATCTCTAAACCAAGTGCGTTAGAGAAGCTTAGAAGTCTGAATGAGTTCATTATTTACTAATCTTTCAAATGGCTGGCAAATTGTTAAACCGAAAAAAGTCATTATTCCGATTTGATGCAATTTGCAAATAAATAAACCTCTATTTTTCCAGCATTTCAAAATCTTTCATCCAAAATTGCTCCTAACAGAACGAGAAACTCCTTGAAATCCAAGCTTTTCAAATCAGAATACTAGTTTGTTAAGTGGTAGTTCAAGTTGTTCAATAACACAGGCGTTAGACGGATTGCGTAAAAATATGGAAAAACCCTTTATTGTATGAAAATTGGCGTTACAGAGTGCTGTTCCTACCTCCTAATCCACCATCAATGTGATTTTTGCCGTCAATTTGACGTGGGAAATTGAAACACACCGGCGCGTCACACGAGGCAGCTAAAACTTCATACACAACTTGTTTAGGTGTTGAGTAAGAGTCAAGTATTTTCAGGACATCTGGTGTATCAGTGTCTTGATTCAATTCCAATGTTACCGCCCCTGCAATGCACCCATTGCTCTCAATTTGATCAGTAGTTGAAAAATCAAATTGTTTTGCGAGTTCCTCGGCAATACTTTCAATGGAGTAGGGATACAATGGAATACCGAATGAGACGACCTCATTCAATTTCTTCAATGCCCAGTCTCGTTTTCTGCGCTTGTTAGGTGCTTCATGAGCCTGGAAGACGTTTGGAAGGAGCGCTTTATACATTTCGATTACCTCGCTCACTGACATTGGGCATCTTTCTTCATTTTCATAGTTTGACTTCTTCCCTCCGACCAACGCAAAGGCAATCAGGGATCCAGTACTAGTTCCTGAAAACAAACAAGCAACACGTACTTTACATACATTATCAGTCCATTAAGCATTCGGTAACAAAAACCATTAATTACTGAAGCTCCACAAACTCGCAGTATCACAGTTAAAAGCCCTAAATCGGATTATAAGAAAGTTCTGGGTCGAAAAAACACTACGTCTTTTCTTTTCTGTTGTGCTTAATTTTCAAATTGAACTTTCTTTCTAATTAATTTGCGAATTTTGCATATGATTTAACCTATAATTACTTAACTTTCAGAGCTATTAACCATGTTTCTCCCTCTCACTATTTAAAAAAATAAAAAATCACTATTTAAAAAAAAATAAAAATTAGGTTAATTTTGAGGTGGCGCGCTCCGAAAAAAAACAACTTTTTTAAATGAAAACTTTCAACAACCCTGAAACCACCATTAATGATTATTGGACTGTTTTATAAATATTTCTGTTTTATAAATGCGGCTTAAAAATGTTAGCAAAGTAGTGCTTTTGCAAGCTGTTTGAGAGAACAGTCTTTGGTGCTTTTGCAAGCTGTTTGAGAGAATCTAATTGGGAATTCAGAGAAAAAGCCGGAGTTCAATACGCGGATCCCAGATATAAGCAATTTTAAACAGTATGTCAAGAGCGTCCAGACTTCCAATTCAAAATAACATATATAAACTTTTTTTTTGGATCAAAACTCGCTCTTAACAATCAAGACTTGATCTCACGAGCCAAATGATCAAAATTTCAAAAAAAAAAATTCACATGAAACCAAACGATCCAAATAAAGGCATTTTTCTAACAAAAACAAACTAAAACTCTTTTTTTTTTCTGATTGTCCTATTACAAAAAACCGCATCCAGTTTCTTGGAAATGGGTGCTGTCTCGATAACAGCCAGGTGTTATCATAAACACAAATAAGCCTGATTCTCTTTCCCGAACTATTCAAATTCAATATTCCATTTTTCTTCGTAACCAATTTTAAAGTTGAATGAAACACATCAAGAAACTGAATGGATAATAGATTACTTATTTGGTCTCTTGGCAAAACTAGTTTATATGATTGGTCCCACTTATTTCAGTTGAAAAAAAAGAACAAACCGAAAGAGCTGAAAAATTGATGCCTTGCAAACTTGAGCTATATGAATTTCAACCAAAATCTATTTGAGCATGAAATCCTATTATTACTGTATGAAATTTCCCTTCAAACGACGCAAGATGAGTTGAATCAGCCTATCTAATAAAAGCCAAAAACTTCAACTTCAGCGCAAAAAAAATTTCAACCAAAATTTGATAAAAACGGGTATGCATACAGTTCCCGGTTTATTCCAGGTTGCATACCCTTTTCTGTCAAACGATTCCCAGTTGCAATACTCTTTTCTGTCATATGATTCAAATTTTATCATGCCGTATTTTTTAAAATGGATCATCATGGAGGGATATGGTGGATTGAAATCACTTCCGGCAAAAGAAAATATGGGTTTTCATTAAAAACTAAACCTAAAGTAACCATTTGGCATTTTTGGATCGTACAACAAATAACAAAAGAACCCGCATGGGCAGGGGCGCATTTAGGGGGGCGAAGTTTGGTCGGACGGGGTCCCCTTTTGTATTATTTTATGAAATACATTTTAGGCCGACCAACCCTAAAAATTTTCTAAAGGCGCCTTTAACGCCAATGTGTACTAATTTTGAAGGGGGAACGCGCAGAAAAAACGCAATTTTTATCGTCAAAATTTTCCAAAAATGCCAAAAAACTGCAAATTTATTTAATTACTTATGTTAAAGATATTTCCTTTATTTCACACTATGTCAAGGTTAGCCTGAGGCTGCACTAGGTAATCGTCTCGCCGTGAATTTAGGCTTATGTTTTAGACCCTTAAAACAAAAAAAATAAAACAACGTTTTTACAAAATTTTTCGAAGTCTTTGAAAAATCACTCAAATTTCATAAAAAGTACTATTTCTCGAAAACTAAGAAGAACTAGGTGGCATATTTCCAGGATAGATTCGCGAACTCAAAACAGCTTCTGATAGCTATTAATCAAGGATTTCAGTTTTGGTCTTTTGAGGGGAAAAATTTAATGAAATATTCTAGATCACTATAAGATCAATATTCTGTACTACTAGATCACTATTATGCGCAAAATCACTATTGTCAAGAATGTAATTATCCTTAAACTTATGAAAACAAAACGTCGTGATTATTTTTACAGAATAGGTGATCATATGTACAAAAACTCTATTTTCTTGTATTAGGAACTTAAGTTTTAATTAAAAAATGGAGTTCAAAAAAGATGTCGGGTGTCATTATAGAGAATGACCAAAAAATTAGTAAAATATACACGTAGAGCTCATGAACAGCAAGCAAATTATTGTCGATAAATGTTCGAGTAATGCTCTCAAATTTTCTTGTGATGTAAATCATTCGAAGAATTTTGCCAGCATCATTAAAATTTGGTTAAATGTTATAATTTTTACAACCGCAAACCAAAAAGCCATATTGCATTAATGAATTGACGTTTGAACTATTTCCGATTAAAATGTCTCAAGTTGGAAATAATTCCGCAATGTATATCCAATTTTGCTTTTATTTTTTGTATAAGATTGTGAAATGATAAGTTAGTATTTGCAAACTACTCCAGAATTATGAACAGTGTTATTTAGTATTATATTGAGGTAAGAAGCACTTTTACTCTTATCAAAACTAATTAGAGTAGTTTTATCAGAGTTTAACGTCAGCTTGTTGCAATTCAACCATAAAAAAAAATTTCAGAGCAAAAATTCGACAATTTACCTGCAATGTAGTTGAAAACTTCAGTAGGATGAATCAACTGAGCATTTGTGCAATCAGCCTTCTCAATGCACTCCTTGATAAACATTGACCTTTTTGCCTGGTATTCTTTGTATTCATTCAAATAACGTAGTACTTTTTCTGGCTTGTAGTACATTGAAGATGCTAGGTTCATGACATTGTCCAGAATAATGGCTTCCATTAAGCCCCTGGAGCCGCCGCCATCAAAAGCAAGGACATTGATGTCCCCCTCCAGCACTTTCTCACCGGACATTTCAACAAAACTAATGGCTCAATCAACTGATAGTTTTAAATATTCAAATACACGATTTTTGTAGCCGTTTCTTATGTATGGCTTGAAATAAATCTTACAATAACGTGCTTTTTCAACAGTGTTAGATACGTGGCAGATGTTTCCCAGGAAATACAATGGTCTTTAATAGAAAACGTTTTAAGCAATACCTTTGCTAGTAGTTTACTGAATTAAATATATATTACATAAGTTTCCAGAAACGTTACGGGAATGCGACTCTAATTTCCTCACAAGACGTGCGTTTAACAGCATTTTTAAAAGTTTTAAATATAGCTGAATCACCTTTTAAAGCAAGTAAACTACACAATAGAGCAAATCAAATGGTATTTGAATTTGTGTACGTGCGTTCAACTCTACTTCGATTGCGTATAAGACCAACTTAGATCTACAGTAGAGCCAAGCTAGAAAGAAACATATGGTGGCTTAAAAAGACCAAGAGGCAAGGCGTCAATTCAGAGTTCTTCTTATATTATTTTATGACAACCAGAAAGAAAATCATCAATTGATTATATCTTCTCCATTCGAGATTTTGAATTTATCCAAAAATAAAACCAAAAATACTAAGTTTCACCTGTACAGCTTTTTCAAAAATAGGCAGAGCGCAAAAAATGAGACCTAAATCGGTACCAAAATTATAAATTTTTAGAGAGAGGGTGGCCAATTTCTCGCAATATTGCACCCACAAACCCCCGAAATAAGTGGGGTGTGAATTAATTGCACATTTCTGTCGATCTTTGCAAACTTTGAGTCGCTGATATCAATACGGAATAAAAAAGAAATGAAAAAAGACCACTTTTCCCACTTTCTCAACGCCAGGATCTGAGATTCAGCCAGTAAAACATCGACAATAAGCCTACAAAATAACCAACTGTTTCAAAATTTACTTCATATTGTGAAAAAGACGCTATATTTATAGGTCAAAACATCGTACTTCGTCAAAAAAATTATACTCAAAAAATCCAAAACATTAATTGTCAAAAAACATTGTCCTTGGGCCACCTAAACAGTGATAGGGATTAGCATCCCAACTTGGACCAAAAATTGTAGCCTAATTGAAGCAAACCTTTGACGCAAGACATATTAATTTTTTAGTCAACCAACCCGGAGGCCTAACCCGAAGGTTAATTATTTAAATTGAAAAGAGCGCATATAACCAGCACCCAATAAGCTATGACTTTCTTGCAATGGATCACCTCGCAAATTGCCGCGCACGTGCGTTTTGATCCAGCAATCATATGATTGCTGGGCAGCGTCAGTACCGGAGCGCCACAAGGCCACTAATACCAGGAAAAAAGGCAGAAATAAGAGGAGTAAATAAAAGAAATTAAATCAATAAATTCTGAATGAAAAACCAGCCATATTAATATGTTTAAGCAAATATCTCAACAAGCTGCACAGGTTTTTGGTTACAAATAGACTCTTTGTGTTTAAATCACTTAGTGTTCAAATCAAATAAAGGGTCGAAACAAACGTAAATAGTTAGTGTGTTTTTGATCCTTCCCTCAATTTTGCGAAGTAATCCAACTTACACTATTGGCGAACTTTTGGATCACTAAACTTTATAGTCCACGCATACTCTTGACTTACTGATATCTGGATCTGTCACATCTACCTGCCATATCTGGATTTGCGACAAAGCTCAACGACTGGCAAATACAAGGTCATGCTTCCCTAACCACCCATAAAATTCTCTAACCACCCATAAAACAACCGACTAGCTTCGCAAAGAGCATCTTAACTTTTTCATGCATATGCACTTTTTATGATCAGACGACCAGTAAAGCAAACAATTCAATAACAAGGTGTAGTGGTAAAGAAAATTAATTCTCCAAAATATATTTCCTCATTTAGGCACAAATAAATTTCTGAAAAAAGTACATCATTAGAAAAGCGAACATAACAAACAGCACAGCAGTGTAGCATTTATTAAAAAATTGTAATTGACATTTTACTGATTACGTAATATGACATAAATTATCCCAAACCCTAATAATCGTAGCGCCTTCAATCATAAACCTCGTCTTAGATGACAATTTTTTGCTCTTCTGTAAAACATAACTCAGGATTATTGCCTATTCAAGCCTCGGCAACAACGCATGAATACATAAATTTTATTACGCGCTGACTCAAGACTTAAATAGCTTTCAACTTTGACCCTATGGAGCATATCGGTAATTTACTAGGGTCGCCGCAAAAGTGAAATGAGTTAAATGAAGTCGTCAAATTCATCGCCAACAGGATCGTCAAAAGGCTCATCATCGCCATATCCATTGTACTCACTAATAGCATTTCCCACCTGTTTCAGCTGCTTTTTGCTCTTGTTTTTCCCCTTCTTACCCTCTTTTTCCCGTTTCACCTGTAACATAAATAGCTAGCCTAGATCGCTTTTTTCTAGCTTAATGGTATTGTTGTTTGTATAAATCTAATAATAACGATTGGTCGACACTTCGTTAACTAGCGAGAACACGACAAAAAGCAGCTCTTTAAAATGCAATAAAAAAGATAGAAAAAACCTCGAATTAGTAAAAACTCGGGTAGGTCTCGGAATCGATCTTGCAGCCTAAAGATTATGAGTCTCATGCATTATCCAATCAGCTAAGCACGCTTAATACATCACAAACATTAGCAAAAAATAAAGCAGAGAACAGACGTGATTTTAGCAAAAGTGCCATCCAATAAGTGAACACTTTCAATGAACACTTGCTGATCGCTAGTGTAAACAGATAATGTGAAACAAGGCATTGGTAAGTAGCTCCCGCTTGCCCCTCTGCGATTACAATAGGAACGGGTGGTATAGCACACATGAAACATTACTTGCAACTTATTCTACTGTCACGAATTTTCACCTCAAAATATCATTCGTAATCTGTTATTTATCGCCGTGATTTTACATTTTAGTGCGCCTGTTTAAGTGCATATCTAACAGTGGAACAAATCTGCAGAAAAAAAATGCAGCTCATGAGAAAAAATTCAAACCTTAGTTTTTGCATATGATTAAAAAACTACTTATTATTTGCTACAGCGACACACATTTTTTTAATAGAAATTTTCTTCTTATATCGGTTGGCCTAAGTCTTGCATCTGAGCAAGAATTTTTTTCTTTGATGATTTGAATCCACCGGCAAAAATTTATTTTCTCTGCTCAGATTGCCGCAAGTCATGAATTATCGCAAGTGTAAAGAGATGAAAAGCAACAAACTATTTAACTTGATTTTCAAGTTTTCAAGTTAATCAGAAAGAATCGATATGCTATCAATAGATGGTTGGCATAAAAAGCGCTTTCAATTAACTATTTAAAGATAAAACAAGGTAAGATAATAAATAATAATCATTAATTCGTTTCAAAATATTAAACAATTATCGAAAGGCAGTGAGCCTGTCAAGGACGCCTCAAGATTAAAATCAGCATTTATTCTGTGTAACTCAGAAAAGACCAGAAAAAAACGCTCTAAAACAAATCTTTTTAGGTGCAATATATTTAGAATCCACTTGTTTTCAAATTTCACCAGAATAAGTAAAATAAGATCTTGTTGTTTAGCATAGGCAAATCACGAAATTGATGTATCAGTTTCGTCAATTCTTTTTCCTTTAGTTGCTTAGATTGAGTAAACTAGAAAAAAATCGAAACAAAGGCTTATGAATGTTAGAGAAAGGACATCAATTAAGTTAAGAGCAATTATTACAATAAGAAAAAAACACCTAAGCCATTGCGCTCGATGGACCCTTAAACACAACATATTAGTTATTTAACATGTGTCAGGAAAAAAATAGAAACAAATGTTAAAATTCCCTGATGACTTTTAGTAAGTAACCATTCTACTCGAAAAATATCGAAAATTAAAAAAAAATATAATGAAAACGCGTCCGGCAGAAAATTCACAAATCACAATTTTGGTATTTATCAGATGAAAATATGCTATAGTTAAGCTCAGAAAACTAACTGAAACGATTCGGATGTTATGTTTTGAATAAATAAAAAAAAAACATTCTCATTTGAACAACATATTTTATAAACATGTTAGTCTTTAAGATGTCGCTCTTTTTTTCTTTTTTTTTGTTATTGTGAGCTAAAGTTGTGATCCGCTCGGAAAACGAATACAAGACACGAGCGGCTGACTTCCCATCAAAAAAATCTAACCGACGTACTACCCACTGAACTTGGAATGCAGATCCTGCAAGATTGTTGCAAACGAATGCAAATTTTGTAAAAATCTCGCAAGAGTTGCTTTATCAATTCGGCAAATGCAAATCTTGCAAGACACTTGGGCTCGTTTCTATAGCAATTGGGCGAACAAAAAATTACTTGTAAGATCTCGCAGGAGGAGAAAAAGAAAAAATAATAATTTTGTATTACAATGAAGAACTTGCTTATGCTTATTTCTGGCAAATGGGTGCAAATCTTACAAAATGAATGCAAATCTTGCAAGAAAAAGTAAGAATAATGTGATTTCCTGCAATATATCTCTCAAGATTTGCATTCCGATAACACTTGGGTAACTTTTTAGATACAGTGAAATGGTGTTTAACACCATTAATATCTGTTAGTAAACAATGCGCAAAGCACGCTCAAATTCGATTCAAACATCATCATTTAAAAGCTGCTACAATAATCCGATACTGCAAACATCCGCAACACGAATATTCGATATGACAAAAAGAAGATAATAAAATGTCTGTAAAATTCAAGAGCAAAAAATTGAGGATCTTTGGCAGAATAAAAATGGCTTTCGGATATTTGCTTTTTTTTCGTTTGCCCCCAAAAAGCTGATTAGTGAATAATTGGCTTCAAAAGCATAACAGGCAATGGGAAAAATTAATCGAATGATTTTTAGTGTAACGCTGCGCCCCACCAGTAACAAGTCTACAAATTACCTTCTCATTGGACATTGCCAATAGCATAGTGCTCAATTTTCTCGTATCTTCTGAGTTCAAACCACTAGCCAATTCTCGGAAAAGATCTTCTGCAAACAGGTAGAAGTGTGGGGAGTCTTTAAAATTTAACAGCTTATTGGTCAACTGGAAGCGGAATTCCACAAAATCTTCTAACCCTTGGGGGTTGAATTTCTCCAAAAGGCCCTGATTCGGTGCAAGTGATAAATTCTCTACCCCTAGCGCATCCTGTGCAATTAGCAGATCACTTTCTTCCTGCATTTGTCGCTTCTCCGCTTCTGTGTAAATACGCTCGGCTTCCGCTTTTTTCTGCATTAGTTCACGCTGCCTCTCCTCCCGCTCTCGGATTTTGTCTTGTAATGTTTTCTTCTTCTTCACCTTTAAGGAAAACTAATTATGCGTTACAATTTTCCAACACGTCGGTGCTGTTTTTGAACTCAAATCTAATTAAATTTAAGGTTTTTCGAGTCTACGTAACCTTGACACTTAAGCAGATTAACTTATCTATTTAGAATAATTTACTGTTACTCCTCATTCCTTACAGGTTTTGAGGCGTCATCTCCTCCGGGCTGTCCAGCCGAGTCCTTCTCGTCACTGGAGTCGGCATCCCACGCATCCTTCACATCTTCATCCTCTCCGTCCCACGCGTCTTTCGCACCCGCCGCCCCTACCACAGGGGGTTCATAGTCTTCGTCGTCCCAATTTGACATGAAACGCTACCTTCCTCAAATCTCCTTCCCACGCAAAAATATATATAATTCTTACTTTGTGAAACTCAAGATTAGGGCTCTTTAAATTCTACTTCTGGTTTCTGTCAAGAAAATCGGAGACCTGCCACAAGGTCATCTGAAAGTTTGAAAAATATCTCTGATTGAGTTATTATTACAGTGCTCGCAGAGTCATGGTAATACTTAAGAAACACGGATGGACGGTTGCAAATAGCACTGAATGTTCCGACCACAGTGAATTTTGAAATAAAATCAAAAGCAAAGACATATTTTCAGTTTTCTTCCTGTCATTTTTAGAGAAGAGTGACTAAATTAACTGGAAAACTGCAATAATGAAAAATAATGATCGCTAAAATAATTATCAACTTGTAGAATTAACTAGATGCGGCCAGCTTCAGTTAATTTCGTCTAATTTAGTCTGACAATCAAAAATATTAATACCAGTTTTTCTCAACACCGACGATTTTTGAAAATTTTTTAGAATCTAAATCACGACCAACAGGATTTTAGCAGGATACCACACTTGACCCCCAACGAGCTTTCCTAGAGCTAGTGAAAATTTGGCTGGGAAAACGGTTCAAAACAAACCGCGTTAATCCATGGCTCCTATCCACTCTTCGAGAGTGGACAGAGCAATAACACCACAAGTTTAACGGGCCAGTCATAGTCAGTAAACAGGTGGTTCAAATGAGTTTCTAAGCCTCTTTAATGAAAACTAGCGTGTAACGCACCTCCAGTGCTTCGAATTTTTAACAACTCATCAAAACTGCATATAGTCGAAATAAGATCTGAATTCTTTTAGTGTTCCCTGACAGCACCCAATTAAAATGTTCGTAATTACAAAATTTGCAAAATTTTTTATGCAAGTTTTTTAAATAAAATTTTGAGAAACCAAGAAGTTTTGTGGAGTTATGCTTGAAAAGCCATGAAGTTTTGTGAAAGAATACTTAATTCCTTTGAAAAAAGTTAAAATGAACTAGGAAACGTCAAAACTCGAAAACTGAAAGCAACTGAGCAGTCACATTTGGACGCAAGACTTGCAACTCCTGAGAGTACTCTTACAATACCCAACTACAGCGTTGGGAAATTCAAATTTTGAGAAACTTCAAACTGAGCTTTCTAAAACAAGATATATTTTTTGAAAACCAGAAAAAAGTTCACATCTCGAAAATTACCAAAATTTGAGCAGTCATATTTGAAGGCAAGATCCGAAACCTATGAAGTTACTCTGACAGCCCCCAACTATAGGGTTAAGAATTTCGAATTGTGAATAAAGAGTTCGAATTGTGAATAAAGAGTTCTAATTTAAGTTTTCGGAATTAATTTTTGAAAAAAATCACAAAAACGCCATATCTGGATAGCTAACAAGATTTGAGCACTCATATTTGTAGGCAAGATCCGCAACCCCTAAGAACCTGAGAACACTGGCTTTTAAGAAAAAAAAATTAGTTTTCTAGAAATTTTTGAAAAAATCATTTAAAAATCTTATCTGAAAAACTAAAAGTTTTTGAGCCCTCATATTTGGAGGCCAAGATTGCAACTCCTGAGAGAACCCTGACAATGCCTCACTTAAGAGATGGAAACTTCAAATTTTGTGAACTTTTTTTTCATCTAAAATCTTTTAAAATTTTTGAAAAAATCTTAAGAAACGTCAGATCTCGAAAAGTACAAGGACTTGAGGAGCGAGAATTGGAGGCAAGATTCGCAACCCCTGACACTACCCAAGTACAGGGTTGAAAATTTCATGTTTTAAAATTAAGTTTTCTAGAAATTTGAAAAATCTCGAAAATTGCTATGTCTCGTAAACTAAAAGGATTTGATTACTCATATATGGAGGTCAGAATCGCAATACCTGGGATAACGCTGATAGCATCCCACTATTCGGTTGCTAATTTGAAACTTGGTGAAATAAACACTGAAATTAAACTGGAAAAACGAACAAGAAATCTTAACCATTGCAATATACGATATAGCTTAAACGCGCTAGACGTCTTTTGTTAAACATGCGAAAAAAATACGTTGAAAAAGCCTAAACATGGCGAGATAGTTAATCCCGCATTTAATTCTATAATAGATTGCAGAGTCTAAAGATGAGCTCTCACTTGAACATTGGCATTAACTCTATACCAGACTACCTTTGATTGCATTCATGGTACAATCCTAAAAATTATAATGGTAAAACTTTCTGCTCAATTTGGGAGACTTAAGTTCTTATTTCCTGCATATCGTTGTTCTGACCATGACTCATGCGGTGTTTTTTAAGTCTCCAAATTAGGAAATAAAGAACAAGAAAAACCAAGCACGAAATTTTAAAAATGAACTCTGCAGGCGCAACTCACGATACTGAAAAATTCGCAGAGCTCAAGGGAGCGAATCCTCAACTCCGTTCAGAAAATCAACACCCTGCAGAAATAAAATAGATCCAAAACTAATCCAGGCTCGAAAAATAAAGAGAAAAAGCACAAACAAACCTAATATTATCTCTTCAAAATGATCAGAAAATCCACGAAACAAAACCGTTCAAGGTAGGCAGATTGTCGAAAACACAGAGGTACCTTAAATCTATATCAAAGGCAAACGGCGTCCCTTCGGAACTCTGCCTTGAGCAAGAGGTTTCAAAACCCGATCTAGATAAAGCTGAGCTATTCAATAACTACTTTCGATCTGTCTTCTCAGGGTCCAGACGACGCCGCCTTCAAGTGGTGGACCCGACATCCTGGATTGCCAGGTTGAAAATAGCGTCAAGCTCCCCATCCCATGGGTCGGGGAAAACTCAGAAGTCTCCGCGTTTTCGGTTACGGAGCGTCTGAAGCCGGCCAGGCTGCTCCGTCTGCTCAAACTCACCCTACTCCTAAGATCCGGCATTAACCCTAACCCCGGTCCCTACAAATGTTCACCCTGTAACCTAAACATTAGTAGAAACCAAGCCAGTGTCTGGTGCCACATATGTGGCTGGATACATTTCAAATGCAGTCGCCTCAAATTTTTAAAAGAACATAACAGATTTTTACTGCCCTCTTTGCACTTCTACTTTCATTTTACCTCCCCCCGGAACCGAAGCCACATCCACACCCTCTTACCAAGTAACAATTCCCACAAACCAATCCTTGCCCACAGCCCCTTCTCAACCAATTCCCAAACCAAACAATCAAACGGCATCCTTATAATCCTCCAGTTTAATAGTAATGGAATATCTGGAAAAGCTCCTGAAATTGCAGCATTCCTAGCCCAGAATGAAATACACCTAGCCCTATTCCAAGAAACCAAGCTCAAGAAACAAAGCCGTAACCCCTCACTAGGTCCCTTATTCGCAATTATTCGAAAAGACAGGCCCAAAGAGGGTGGAGGCCTCCTCATTGCAATACATGAATCCATACAATACGAAGAAGTAAGTTTAAATACCGACGGTACACAAGAGGCTATGTGTATATCAGTTGTAGCCGGTACGTCGAAACTTCGTATTAGTAATTTTTATATCCCCCCCTAGATCTAGTTGTCCCCCCAGTTATACTGCGTCCCTTACTGATCTCCTGGTTCCAGGCGACGCTCTTGTACTTGGGGATGCAAAAGCCCGCTCTTCCCTCTGGAATTCTAACTTAGAAGAAGATCAACGTGGTCAATTACTCTCAATGAAATTACTTTATCCACTTACGCCCCCCTGAATGATAACCAAACTAGAGTACTTTTAATTCTTTATCCTCTGATGCATATTTCTCCTCACCTGACATCTCCCTAGCATCGCAGAACCTTTTACTTTCTTCGTCCTGGACCCCAATTAAATCTCTAGGCTCCGACCACCTCCCCATACTTATCGAATTACCTCTAGAAAATATCGTACACTTTTCTCCGAGAAAGACTTTCATTAACTTCCTCAAAGCTGATTGGCGGCAATCTACCGAGGAGATTGAGTCGGGTTGCCTTGCCTCGAGGTTTCCTTCTTCAGTTACGGCCGGGGAGAAATTCTTTCGGGATCTGGTACTGAGGGCAGCACGCCACCACATCCCCGCTGGGCGCCACTGCCATTACACCCCGACTTTCTCCAGAGTCAGCCTTTCTTGCTGCTGAAAGAGATCTCGGTCGCCACAACAATCAGCCCATGGAACCTACACAGCACTCTCGTTTCACTCCTTCCCAATTGAACTCCCAACTCCTCAATCAGACAGCGAAGGACAAGAGAAACAAATGGCGTAAATTCCTCCAGACCTGTGATTACCGCAATGGCGCGAGAAAGTTCTGGAAAGTTGTACGCTCCCTAAACGGATTCAGGCATGTGGTAGGAATGCACCCTATTTAATTTGAATCAAAAACAATCTCTTCAGACACGGACATAGCTAAGGCTTTTAATAAACAATTCACAAATGCCAGGATGCATGGGTCAGATAAGCTACTCCGGAAAACCAGGCGCAAAATAGCCAAGCTCACCTTGTTAGATAACCCCACTTTCGTCCCCCTACAAACTAAACAAGCCATAGCGGACAGCAAACCCTCGCGAGCACTTGGTCAGGATGGCCCTTGCAACTTCCACTTAAAACACCTGGGACCCCTAGCTCTTGAATATTTAACCCTTCTTTTTATAATGTCGCTGTCTGAAAATAATATCCCTCAAATGTGGAAAAATTTTAAGATAATCCCCCTACCCAAACCCGAAAAGAACCAAAAATGATCCACTTCTTATAGGCCCATCTCTTTACTCTACCCCGCTGTTAAAGTTTTAAAAAGGCTTATTCATCCTTCTTTAACAAAGTATCTCCCTACCGCCACACATCAACATGGTTTTCGTCCTTTCCACTCTACCACTACTGCGCTTTCCGCAGTAGAATTTTTTGTCACAGACGGTTTTAATCAAAATCGCCCCCCCCCCCCTCCCGCACCGTTCTCGCAACGCTTGACCTCTCGAAGGCTTTTGACATGGTGTGTCATCGTACTCTCGTGGAACTAATTCATGACACACCGCCCCGAGAGGTATTGTTCGTTGGCTGAGTAACTACTTGAACGGCTGACAAGCAAGCACCACACTTTTTATAAACCAAGAATCCCCTCACAAGGGCCCAGGGCTCTGTTCTTTCGCCCACTCTTTTTATTTTTTACGTCCATGACGCCCCCACACCCCCCTATAATGTTCGTCTCACATCTAACGCCGACGATTTCCATCCCTTTTCCCAATGCCCTGATGTAGAGGCAGCATCTCGATCGTTGAATGATTACCTTCATCATCTTTTCAATTTTTTCACGTCCAGGAAGTTATTTTTCGCGTCCTCCAAAGGATCAGTTACCCTTTTTTTCTTCATACAATAAAGATTTTAACAAAACACACGGTGTACTTTTAAACAACGAGCCACTCCCTCTTAACAAAAACCCAAAAATTTTAGGGGTTACTTTTGACCCAACCTTATGCTTTGCTGCACACTGTAAAAGATCCGCCGACAAGGCCCGCCGCAGGATAGGTGTCCTGAAAGCGTTGGCAGGATCCTCTTGGGGACAGACAAAAAAAATGCTCCCCTTAACTTACTAAGCCTTAGAATGCCCCATTTTAGATTATGCCTCCCCTGCCTGGTCACATGCCGCCAGCAAAACTTCCATTAACCACCTGCAAGTTACCCAAAATCAAGCCCTCAGAGTTATTACCGGCTCAAGGCTCATGGGTTCCACTGCCCACCTGCACAGTGGTCGAGATCGGCAATGTTCCAAATCATCACACTCTTTTAACCTCTCAATTTTTTTATCTCGTCATGCCGCTCCCATCACCCAAATAATTTCTACCACTCACACCCCACACCTCCACGTCGAGTTCGACAATCAATTTTAAGCGCTTATAAAGAAGATATTGACTCCGTTTTAACCAATCTTAACCCTTCACTCAATCTTAACAACCCAGAACAACCCATCTTTCACCACCACAAGTCCATTTTAAAACACAACCACACAAATCTAGTAACTAAGTTCCTCGCAGAAATCCCTCCCTCTAAAGTAATTTGTATACCGCCCCCTAAGGTCGACCCCACAGAAAAATCTCTCCCCAGAACTACCCGCTGCAAACTCTCCTAACTCCGGTCTGGTTCCAGTCGACTTTTAAACACATATCTCTCCCGACTAGACAACAAAGTTTCCCCACTATGCCCGGACTGTCACCTAGCACCCCACACTAAATGCCACATTTTTAACTGCCCCAAGAATCCCTCCCCACTCACTCCCACAGACCTGTGGCTTAGGCCGGTGGAAGTTGCGAAGTTCCTTAGCCTGGAGACAGACGGGCCCAACCCGACCAACGTGGGCTAATGAAAAAAAAGATCTGTCTTCTCAAAAAACTACTGCACAGATGAACCACCATATGGAACCAAAGTTGAGATGTATTCAATTCCCTCTTCAAAAAACAAAAACGGCAAATCTTAATCTAAGTATAAACCACGCTAAAGGACTTGACATCAGCAACGCTCGTCTAAAAAGCTTGCCGAATCGATACCTAATCTCGTGATTTTCATTCTAATCGCAAACAAAACTGTTTTTCTACTTAAATGGAGAATTGGTGTTCTAGTGCCACTTGTTAAGGAAGGTGAGAAGCAAAAAAATTCTAACGTCAGACCAAACAGTCTATTGTGTGCGATCTCTCAGCAGTTAGAAAAACTTATCAACAATAAAATATCGCATTCAATTCTCCAAGGCTTTCCCCACACCAACAGGGATTCAGATCAAAAAGATCAACGACCTCTAACCTTATCGAACATCTACATCATATTTTTACTGAACTTAATTCACCATATTGCTCAAATCTGACCGCTTTGTATGTCAATTTCCAGGAACCCTTCGACAAATTATCACATCAACTACTTCTAGAAAAATTCAAATTTTGGCATTGGGCGCAACTGTCTCAATTTAATACAGAGTTACCGAGAACACCGGAAGAAAACGGTCAGAATCAATCAAAAAACTATCTGTGTTCAGTGGATAACCACAGGGATCACTGCTGGTGCCCATCTTGTTCCTGGTACACATGAACGACTTAACGGACAACATCATGTCACCAAACTTTGGCTGTGCGGACGATTTTAAAATCATTTGCGACAACCCCATTAAACTGAACATTGACGAGATAATTTCATGTCAAAAAAATCTAACAAAAAGTAAACTTAAAGCCATCAAAGGCTACTCGATCGTGTCACTTCCCAAATACATGTTCGAAAGAGCTCAAGTAATGAAAGACCTAGGAGTCCTAGTTTCTGAAAACTTATCATGGACTGCTGATGCAAAGAAGAGCCGAAAAAATTAACCATGCACTTACACTTAAACGAAACCTAGCCAGGACCACTTTGGTCATCCGGAAATGTGCTTGCATCTGCTACGTGTTACCAATTATCAGCTACGGTTCAGAGCTATGGAAGTCAAATAAAGGAGACCTAAAATAGAAGAAAAGTGGCAAAGAAAAGTCTTAACCTGGATTTTTGCATCCAAAAACCTAAATTACTAGAAGTTTCTGCCAATTGATAATTTACCTCTCTCGTTATATCAGGAAGTGCACGTGATCCACTTCTAAGAAAATTCACTACGTTCAATAACACTTTAATTTGTTATTGTTCAATAACCCTTCATTCAATCTTTTTTATAATTGCCTGATAAAACTGCCAAAATTCTACTTAAACCCTGAAATGTTTGAATCAAAAGTAAAATTCAAATTCAAGTTCAAGTCAACCATATCACTTTGGCGCATCAAATTTTGGAATGGGTAATTACAGATTTACTACTATCAACATCAATTGCACTTAGTAATTAAAAAAAGCACATGTTCAACCTTTTTACTACATTAAGCAAATTCAATCAAAACTCACTAAACCGTACGTCACGTTTCAATTACACGACAAACAACTTTCAAGCATGTTGCGGCGCATTTTCTTGATCCAATTGTTCGACTTCAGGAATTTTATGCTTTGCGAGATCATTAGCATTCAAATCAACATCACCAATGTTTTCGGTCGACTTCAAAGGCATTTCACCATCCAAACTCTCTTGTTCAACTTTACCAGAGGACTCTTGATGATTGTTTTTCGTCATGCCTGTAACCTCGTGGTTCTCTCTCAACTCAGCGACTCGCAACGATGCGTCCGAATCCTTCTCGTCAAAAGTCAATTCCACTACTGAGTGATCAGTCAAACATGGCGACTGTTGAGGCACTTGTTCACAAGGAGGTTCCGACTCGCAAGAGGAGTTAACTTCGATATCTTCGTCTATATCAAGTTTCTCTTCAGACTCAGATGGAGGAACAAAGTCCGAGTCATCCTCCGACTTGTAGCATTCATCACTTTGGTTCAAGAGATTCACATGGTCAATCTACATGAACGGAAACCAAATTGAACATAGATTCTATCTTCGAAAAATCGGCGAACACCGGCAGGGATCGAAAAATGAAGGATGTGAAGAAAAAAATTCGTATAAGTTTTGACAAAAAATCGCATTTTTCCGTGGCGTGTTTTTCCCTTTTAAAACCATCAGGTATTTGCGCCAAACGCGTCTGTAGAAAAAAATTCAGGGTTGGTAGCCCCAAAATAGTACCAAAAGGGCACTAATGAAAAAGAGTTTCATATGGGAGACCTTTGGTAGGCAAGTATTTCGACCTACTAAGAGGGGAGCGCCCATATCCCCACCTAAGCCCACTACCAAACATGTCGGTTAAACAGAAACTTTGCAAATCACGTTCTCTTCTAAAAAATTGTAGACATCCTTTGCCACTTACTATCTCGTCTTGTTCCGAATCCTCTTCACATGAACTCTCATCGTCATAATCAGCATCACTCTGGGAAGACAGCATCGGCCGCTTACTAGGCGAAATTCCGCTCAACTGTCTAGCCGCATTGGGCGAGTTTCCGAAGTCAAATTTGACTCCATCTTCGGGCGTTACGTTCAAGTCATCGCCTTCCAATGTTTTATCTCCATTCTTCGACTTTCGTCCCGCTGATCGTCGGGTTTTATACTTGCGCTGCACGTTCACAATAGCTCGCTGCTTCACTCCTAAAGCGCTTCCCAGTCCAAATAAAACAAATCTGCACATTTTCAAAGGCAGTCCCAAAACAATTGAGTAAAAAGCAGAGCTTAAAACATTCCCAGACGAAGCCTGTTTGTCAAGAGAGGCAACAGTTCTTTCGACTCTTTCGCTGAGTCGGGCAAGCATTCCACTAGGGGTAAAAAGCGGGTAGTGGGCGGGGGCAGAAGATTTGGCAGCTGGCGACCCTTTTGAGTTTGAGGCTGCAGCTCCAACTTGACGAGAGGAAGACATAGTCAATATAAGCGATCACAAATCTGAAAACCAGAAGATGTAGTACCGCCTCACAAACTGAATGAAGACAGAAAATTGAAACATCGATTTTAGACTAGAACATATCAGACATTGATCTTGGATACCCAAGTACGAATGTCTGCCTGTATGCAGCAGTATCCACGCCATGCCTCACTCACACCATGACTCAACTTCGGACCAACATCTGCAAATGCAGCTATAAACAACAACAGACATCGATCTCAGGTTTCTTATTTTGCGCGGATTTTACTTTAACTATTACTATTTTACTATTAATTTAACATGTTTCAGAAAAATGACTTCATCATAACACGTTTTTATGTCATGTTCAAAAGAACGATATCGAAAAATTTCAGACGTAAACAATTCAGTGGTGACAACTTGAAAGAGGAGTTTACACAGCGGTATTCCTCACATGCAATATTTTCACAGTTGGAAGCCAAAAATTTCGGTTACTTAGTTCACAATACAAAAAAAAACACGTTCGGTAAGCTTTTCTGAAAGAACTTATACAAAAAAAACTACAAGAAAACAATGTCATTGGTGTGACAATTCGCAGCAGCCGACAATGTCACTTCTGAACGCCTATCACTAGGTGGGCTTAGTACATGCTGTATAAAAAGATATTTACACATTTCACGAGAGCTATATAGACAAATCTACACCATCAACAAATCACTAACAAATTTTCATCCTAGTGCAAAGTCAGACCAAAGCCTTTTTTGTTTATTTGGTTGAACGGACGTCAGAACTCCGACTAGCATCTGTATTTTAAATCCCTTTTATTTGATCTCGTCTTGTGGGCGAATTATCAAATGTGAATCATTCCGGTCTGGGGGCAATCAATTACCTAATTTGCATTCTTTTCATATTTCGTACCCACACACACGCACTACCTCTGGGGAATAAATCAGCTATCCGATTGCTTACTGTTACAAAACCGTTACACAGACGAAATCAATTAACATTAATCGGAAAAGTCGCCATCCAAAGAAAAAAACTCCGCCTAATGGTTCTGTTCTATTTACTTGCTCCAAAGGACGTTGGCATTTCTTTTCAAACAGCACGATAAAAATTTCCATTCTTTTTCAGTTTAAGTAGTTTTTTTTCAAACTCAAATACGATCATTCTAAACTGCTTAAATTGAATAAATTGCAATTGTTGCTCAATAAGAGAACAGTCAAAAGTGTTGGGAGTAAATTTGTTTAGCCACTTCCCAATTTAGTGAGCCTAGGAAACACGTGTTTCCTTTAAAGGGGATATTACGCAAAGATTTCTTTTCCTCACATTTACATCAAAAAATGAGTAACAAAATTTTTTCTACTCAATTGCAAAAAAATTCTTTTATCATCTTGTCAGCTTGCAGAGAGAACATGGAATTAATATATAAAAGCATCATCAAAAAACATCGAAATCTCTTTAAATAATTCACTTTCATAAATTTGAATCCTTCCGCGATTACTTTGTCAACAACTATTAAGCTTTATTTAATTCGGTCAAATTTTTAGACAGGACTTCACAGATACTTTTGTACACTTGAATATTTGAAAGTTTACAGATCTGAAGATTACAATTTTCACCCTAGATCATTTACCAATTAACTTGAACTTTATTAACCATTTTTTCTTCGCTTGACCCTTTGTCATTGGAGAATCTGTTCATAGTTTTATAATCAAACTCATACTAAAACTAACGGTAATTCGACGCGTTAGTGACAGTTTTGCACTTTACTTAAGCTCCATTTAGACAGAAAATTTTCATCTTGCTCGTCGAGAAGATTATTTCACTGAAGTATTGAGACAACCCCTTGTGATATCTGACATTTCGATACGATCAAGAAGTTTCATTCAAGTTAATCCCATCATAGTTTGAATCAAACTCGAATTCAACTCAAATCGGGGTTCGATGTTTGATCGACCTCGCGGTTAACATCTCTTTGGAGTTTCAGGCACAAGGTTTTTACACATATTTTACCTGACAAGTTGATTATTTTTGTCGACCTGTATTAGAGCTGCTAACTATTTGGTTGTTGATTTAGCACGAATTAGTAACAAATCTAGTTTATTATTTAACCGATTGATCAATTTAACATGGTCATAGTAAAAACAATCATATTGGATTATCCAAGACATCAAAAGACATATTTACTTGATTCGTTTAGACATGCTTGCAAAAGTTTGAAGATGATTCGCGAAAACAACGACAGGTGAGGCGAAACATAGTTTTGGAATCTATCATTCAACGCCCATAATTAAATTCAAGTTGGAGCCAAAAAGCAATTACATCCAAAAGCGTATACCTAGCTAATTACCATTGTACCACTCATTTATATCGTACTATGCACTGGAGCATCTTTACAATTCATATCTAGTTTACCCTCAAATTGTATAATTGCAGCCATTGATTGCAAAGTCAGGACAGGTGAGCGCAAATGAAGCGTCGTAAGATCTGGATCAATCACCCAACCTTGTCCAGAATCTATTATAAACACAAACTACACTTCTGCCAGACAGTCGCCAAAAAGCCCAATTAAACCATAAAGAATCCAATCATTTCCAGTCGTCAGTAAGACTGAGGGAAAATTGTCCAAACTCACACCAAATGACTTCAAATTCAATCATATTCCGAATCATAATCGTAGAAATACTTCACTTATACCTCTTCACAGTATCAAATGCATTCACCATCAGAGCCCCAGCCCTGAAACGAGACAGCGATGAAATGCCAAAACAAATGAACGTACAGAACAAAGCGACAAAGGAGAGTAAATACCCGACTGAAGATTCATATCGAGTGATAGGACTTGACCAAATTGTTCAAATGCACGATGTGGATACTGGATTATTCGTTACTATCAGAGAAGGCAGCAACAAAATAGTTTTATCGGACCAGAGCCAATCAATAAGATGTATGTTGCATTTACCTTTTACAGACTAACAATATTATGTTGAACACAACTGGAAACAAGCATCAAACTACAAAAAAAAATCTTACAAACTACAAAAAAAACCGTAAAAAGTATATATTTATTTTTCTATTTTTTTTTTGGTTTCAGCGCTATTTGAGATGACTCCCGCAAGTGGCGTTGATGAGTCCTATCCCAGTGACGCGTGGATTATCCGCTCCATGTACAGGACTAACAGATACATCTGCCAGAATAAGAAAGGATCAGTCTACTTGGTAAATATTTCGATACAAAACATCTTCACCTTATGTATTTCACCCATTTACAAAGAACTTAACATTACTGAAAGCCATTTTCCAGGTTTCCACGAAAGAAATGAAAAAAAAAATAGAAAAATAGTATTTAAACAAAGAACTAATTAAACTTGCAAGTATTATAAACTAAACCTTGGTGACCAGTAAATCGTTCTACTGTAACTTATAAAAAAAACTTGACAGGTGTTTTTGTTTTGATTGCAGAGTAAATTGAAGCGTGGCTGTCTGATGCACAAAGTGGTCAACCAGAAGGGAGTCACTTTCTACAACTACAAGAGATGGACCAAACTGGTCGTCAGCAGGTAACCAGATACCACCAACTAAAATTATCACAAAAAAAAACTTAACTGAAAAACTCAGTCTCGGAAAAATTGAACATAAAATTTCAATAACTGGTCATTAAAATCGGCACACTTGGAAAAAACATCTTTTGTCTTTCACTGTCATCTTAACAATGACTAAAATTGCCACAGATGCCTCAAAGTTTTACGAAATGGTAGCTCACATCTTAAATTGATTTTTGTTCAATATAGATCATCGAAATAATCATGTTTTCTTTGTTTTCAGAATCGAGCCAAACCAATTTATCCCTGAGAGCGCAACCACCTCTGGTCAAATGGACATTCTATCAGCACCCTTACCTCTCAAAGCCATGGTCACAGACCTCGCATTCGAACTTTACACCACCGACCTCAAACTATCCACACTGCTTAAACAAAGACTGGACCAGAGCCCAGACCTTGAACTCACTTTGGCTAAGACCCTGGATCCTATTAAAGGTACTGCACTGAAATCTACACGAGTGACACTAACGAAACAAGACTGGATCAAAGCGTCCCTTTTCGACTCCAGTGACGTAGATTGGAAAGCGATGGTGACAAGAGAACTGAAATTTATCAAAGCTCGAGAACCTCTTGGACACTTCCAGGAGTTCCAATGAACCTCATCAAAGCGAGTTTACTTTAGGATCTTGAAGTAATTCATGATTCATACGCAATGACTACAAAGACCCCCAAAAAGTCGTGAACTTTTAATCGTCGACCTACATCGACAATTGAACAATCAAATTATCACATGAACGAAACGGTTACGAGCAAAAGACTCGCAACGAGCAATGAAAGCTGTTTTTATTGACATAACAGAGCAAAATTAGATAATTTTGAGACAAGCCATAAATTTCAGAGGCCGCTACAAAACATACAAGTTGACAAAAAACTAATTAAAAGGACGGCAGAAGATAATGGAGCAGCTTGAAGCTGATTCTCATTAAACTTATTGTACATAAACTCAACTTGTAAATTGGCATTTCCTTTTGACGCATTCCAGACAAGTAGAAATATAATCAATGAATTTATTTGTTTTTATTTTAAGAATTAGCTCAAAACACTAAGCTCATACTAATCTTTTGGAAAACTTAAGGGTAGTTTTTAAAGCCATAGCTAACGGAAAACATGAAAAGACATCAATACTATGAATATTGTCTCACAAGACTTTGAAGGTCCTTGACAATAGATAATCACAACATGAACGCTCATACAATTTTTCAAAAAAAATACTTCTCGAAATTAAACAGCAAACAAAAAAATTAAAAACTGACAAATTAAAAACTGAAAATAAAAAAAACTCAAGAAAATCAAAAAATGATCAAATTTTTTATAAAAATTTTCAAGCTCTTACAATTTCATGAATCTTTAAGGCCATACACCTTTTTTAATCAGACTAACACAGTTCGAAAAAAAACTTGGTCAATAGGTTTTTTCTTCCCCTGTGTATTCTTAAAACTAAGTCGACTTTCGAAAGTAATAGTCATTTTTAAAATAAAATAGCACTGATGCAGTTTTACTACAACATCTCCCGTGAAAGAAGGACAAAGTTTGATCTTGTGGGTTCTCTTCAACACGAAGTTCGGTATGTCAAGACAAAACTTCAAGAACTATCCGGAAAATTCATTGCGACTTGAGGATGCAGAATTAGACATCCAAAACAATCCGATGGCCTTCTTTGAATAGATGCTCTTATAAACAACAGAAAATATTTAAATATATATGTATTTTATAAATTTATCTTACCTGAATACAATATATTACACAGAAGCGAAGCGGAGTTCTGCACCATAGTTAAAATAAAAAATATAGGCTTTCCAAATGATACACAGATGCGAAGGTGCGCTTAGCAAACGCAAGCGAGAGCGCGACTTTATAAAGTGAAAAAAGAAAAAACAGAAATAAGCCTCGAATTAGTAAAACTTTGCTTCGTATTGGCTTCAAACCTGTGACCTCGAGAATTATAGACTCACACCTTACCCTCTCGGCCACGACCGCTCAACAATCGGCAAACACTAGTAAAAAAAATAATGCAGGTGCATGTGCTAATAAATTGGCAATACGATGCAGCAAAAGTGGCTGGACAACCAATTAAGATCAACCAATTCAGATAAAAAAATTTCGAAGCACATGCTATCAAAAAGCCCTAAAGGTGCCACCAAAAGTGGCACCAATTTTTACGACTGAGGCTAGAAAAAATATATAGTCGTATTATTACACTAACGCTCACTAAAGGTCACTAGTGTAAACATTCGCTACACATCATGAAAACAATTTTCTTCCTCAACAGCAAAATGGAAAAGAAACAATAAATCATTTTCGGAAATTGAAAAACTTAGGAAGGCTCCTAGACGGATATGTCCCAAGGAAAAGAATTGCTTGTTTACAAATTTTGGAAAAAAAGTACTACTAACTTGTTTTGTAGTGCACAAATGCAACAGGGAACTGCGCATCAGTTGCAATTCGAAAATGAAGAGCTCAGGCATTTAAAAAATGACGAAAGAAAAGTCAGACATTTTTTCAACTTTTCTCAAGAACATGTAACAGTGTACACACGAACCAAACAGCCAGTAAAAAATATTAGAGGCGACGCGTTAGAGGCAACGCATAATTCGCAAACGCAACCAAAAAACGGCAAAAAAAACTCAAAAAAAGGCAAAAGAGAAACTGCAAAATAAGCAGTGAGAAATTCAGACTTTTCCTAAAGGCCAGATTGGCAACCGACATGCTGATTACGGGCTTCACGTCCTTTTAGTCACTTTAAATTGATCAAATACTACCCACAAATAAGCCGATGGAACAGATACTAATAATTTGCCAATTTTTCTTCTGCAAAAGTTCTACTAAATGAGCACTTTTATTAGTGCATTGGGTAAAAAAAAAGTGGATTCGTAATATAATACTATGCTTGCAAAAATAGCGAGTGCGGTCTGTAAGTACACAACCGCGTATTCATACTCGTCAGTAGGCAGACAAATACTATATGTTGTTGTTGTTGTAGTGGATTTACAGCACAAGGCTGATGGGTGTTGCCGTTTTTCCGTTTTTATTAGAAGAGTGTCCACTTATTTCTGCATTGGTTGCAATCGCACGCAAGTTGCCAAGTGCAAATATTGTTTTCGTTGTACTTTTCATCCATGAAATTCCACATCAGTTGTAGGATTCGGTTCTTGAGTCCAGTTTTGTTTGTGAAATCAACGTGTTTGTCAATTCTGTTTGCAATTCGACTGGTACGTATTGTGAATTCCCCTCGCGGATTCTCTGTTCTGATTTTGGCACTCTTGAAGACGTCCTTAGTTCTGAGATTTGTCTGCGGGCACTGTGATAGATGTGGAAACACATCAGTTCGTCCATCAAGGCTAAAGAGTATTTTGATCCAATTTTGATCCGGAAAGCTGCAGATCGTGTGCTCTGCCTCTGAACACCAGTTGTGAGCATTTATCGAGAGCCAGCGCCATCTTGTTCTCCTTGACCCAGTCATCATTGGACTTCAAGTCCTGTTGCACTTTGATTAGGTCTGTGTTGACTGTCAGAAGTTTCAGATCGTCAGCGTATATGTACGGGTCAGAGAATTTCAGCCGGTCCGGGAGGTCATTGATGAAACTGCAGAACAGAAGTGGGCCCAGGAGGGATCCCTGTGGGACACCACTCGTCACATCTAGAGTCACTGAAAAAGTTTTCTCAACTTTTACATATTGTTTTCGTCCATTTAGATAATCACAAAGAATTTCCAGCAGGCATCCTCCTACACCAATATTTGCGGTCTTTTTCAGCAATTCAAGATGCGGCACCTTGTCAAAAGCTTTTGAGAAGTCCGTATAATAAGCGACAACGTCATCTGTTGGGTTTTCGTCTAGTGCTCTGTAAATTTTACTCAGGAATGATAGCATAATCGTGGCCACTGATTTCCCTTTGACAAAACCATGTTGATGTTTTGAAAGGACACGTTCAAAAAGCGAGTAGAGAGGTCCGTAGATGCATTTCTCTAAGATTTTGCTGTCTATGTTGAGTAGTGAAATTGGACGCCAATTTTCCACATTACGTCTGTCTCCTTTTTTGAATATTGGGGAGATCGCTGCCGTCTTCCAGCAACTAGGTATTTTTCTCAATCTCTTGATGTTCTTGAAAATTACCTGCAAGGCATTTGCCATGTTGGTGGCTGCTTGTTGGAAGAAAATTGGAGGCAGGCCGTTGGGTCCTCTAGACTTGGTAACGTCAATAGTCATCAAGATTTCTGTTATAGTTGTATGAGATATGCTGAAATTTGTGATCTGTGGATTGTCAAATTCAACGTCTTTAATGTTAAACTTTATTTTTTGCGAGAATACTGAGTGAAAAAATTCGTTGAGCAGATTCACCTTTTCTTCCAGGCTGGAAACAGTGGTGTTATCGCTTATCATTATTTTTGGCAGTGATGCAGATTTGTTGAGACTTTTCAGGTGCTTGTAAATGATATCTGTGTTTCTTGTACTCAGAAGTTTGTTCTGATAGTTTAATCGATCATTTTCACTGGACTGGATTACTACATTTTCCATTAGTGCAACTTGACGTTTGCGGTAGCTTGTTGGTTTCGAAATGAGTAGTTTTTTTTTGGGTGTTAAGCTTTTTCATGAGGTTTGATGTGCTTTGGGCTATCCATGATGGTAACTGCTGTCGATGCGCAGTTCTTCAAGGCACATAGATTTCTAACAAATTTTCAAAGTAATCACATAGCTCTTGGCAGGTTTTATCTATATTTGTGTAGCATATTGGATTGAAAACTTTATCAGCCATAGCGTTGTTTATACCTTCGAAGTCAGCTTTACCGAAGCTTCTATATTTGTCAATGACCGGTTTGGCTTCTTGGTGTTCTATTTCGACGTTGAGGTTTATTGATTGATGATCTGAACAGTCATATTGTTTATCGAAGAATTCATCCCTTTGAGCATGTACGAGACAATTTCTATGGAAGGCTACATCCAACAAGTTTTTTCCGCATGTAAAGAAGTTAACTGTTTGTCTGAAGAGTTTTGTGTCAAAGGCATCAACTACCTCCTGTTCCTCTTCACTGGCACTTGTTAGGGACGGCCAATTTGTTTCTGGGAAGTTGATGTCACCACAAACGATAAGGGATGACGAGGTTGGAAAGGCATTCAATATTTTGTTAAAATCTTCAGACAAGTACCTGTAGGTGCTTGATTTAGGGGGGTTATAAAAGACACAGAATATCAACTCCTGGCCGGATATATCAATTTTGCATGAAACACAGCTGTCAGGCAGATCTACAGTAGGTTTTTCACATGCGAATGTATTCTTTACAGCAATGAGACTGCCGCCGTGTTTGTTTGTATCATTCACTCTCTCTGTCTGATCTATAGATATTGTAATCATGTAGCATTAATTCAGAGGATTCTATTTGATTATTTAGCCAGGTTTCACAAATGCAGATTATACTGTAATTACCAGATGTAACAGCAGTAGAGAGTTTGGCTCGACGTTCGAAGTTTATGAGACTTCTGGCATTTATTTGAAGTACGCTTAGAAAGGCCCCTAGTCACGGGCCGCTTTCATTGAGCTCTACTTTTACGTTGTCATTGAACAACTCCAAGTTTCTTATCCGTAACTTCTCTTTTGGAACGCCTTCAGTTATAAGTTCACGTCGCTTTTTGAGGATTTGATTTTCTTTAGCTGCGTCCTCCTTGGTCAGGGCAGGTGAGAGAAAGACTTTCCTTTCAGACAGTTGGGTCCTTTTTTCTAAACTTTTCGCCAGAACTAATCTTGCCTCATGATGGTTGGCCACGGTCAACAGAAGGGTTCTGGGTTTCGTTCGCTTTACATCGAACTTTCCCAGGCGTTTCATTTCAACGATGTTTGGTTGTACATCAACAATCTCTAGAATCTTCTTGACTTCCTCGTTTGTTGGGACAAGGTTCTCAGCATTCGATTTCTGGGGATCTTCGGCAATCCCCTGTATTCGGATGCATTGATTGATGTTGTGATTTGCTCGATTTTGCTGTTCTTTTGGTACAGCATTCTTGTTGTTTCCTGTCAG